TCTGCAGTCATAGAACGGGAGTATATTAATTCAGCCTCTTTTCTTCTCCTACAAGCTGCTGAACAATCTTGGTCCCACCAAGGAGGGGAGGGATAATTATTTTTGAAAGGTTTTTTTAAGGGGATTGACTTATTAGCAGCAGAAATAATTGCATTTCTGAACTCTATATATACAGTAGCAATATTATCATTGTTAATTGGGGGAAGAGTTGAAACCTCTTGTTCCAAGACTTTAGAATATAATTGCCAATTAGCTTTGGATAGATTATACTTTAGTCTTGGGTAAAATGTAAAATTTATTCTAGGTGAAGTAGGAGGAGTGATGAATATAGGAAAATGGTCACTGCCATAGCTAGAAGGTAATATTTGCCACAAAAGAAGGGAAGCAATATCTGGAGAGCAGAGAGTTAGGTCAACGGCACTTCTAACATTTTGTAATGGGGATACTCGACGGGTAGGAGACCCATCATTTAGAATACAGAGATTAAAATTATCAATAAGATCTAAAAATAAGGGAGCCAGTGAATCACCAGAGTTGGCACCGGTTTTAACGCGTCTTTTCCGGTACTCCTACTCCCTAGGCGTAGTCCCAAAATCATGGAAGACGGCTTTCGTCCACCCGATCCCTAAAAAAAGGCGACCGCTCAGACCCGTCCAACTACCGGCCTATCGCCATCACCTCCTTGTTCTCCAAAACAATGGAGTCCATTGTAAACTGCCAGCTCATGAGGTACCTTGAGGATCACCAGCTGATTAGTGACCGCCAATACGGTTTTCGCCGTGGTAGGTCAGCTGGTGATCTCCTGGTCTACCTAACTCACAGATGGGCGGAGGCAGTAGAGTCCAAGGGGGAGGCATTGGCCGTTAGTTTGGACATTGCGAAGGCCTTCGATCGGGTTTGGCACAAAGCGCTTCTTTCGAAGCTCCCTTCCTATGGGCTTCCCGAGAAATTGTGCGATTGGATCACCAGTTTTCTTGCAGATCGGAGCATCAAGGTCGTTGTAGACGGTGCAAGCTCCGATTGCAAGCTTATTAATGCTGGTGTTCCACAGGGCTGCGTGCTATCGCCAACGCTGTTTCTTCTGCATATCAATGATATGTTGCAAACCCGTAGCATTCATTGCTATGCAGATGACAGCACTGGTGATGCTCTTTACACCGGCCGAGCCAATATTTCTCGGGAAAACGTCTCTGAGTGCCGGGACAAACTTGTGTCTGAAGTCGAGTCTCTGCTGGACAGAGTCTCGGATTGGGGGCGACTAAATCTAGTCCAGTTTAACCCCCAGAAGACACAAGTTTGCGCGTTAACCGCTAAAAAGAACCCCTTTGTCGTATCCCCTCAGTTTCAAGGCACTCCCCTTGTTGCCTCAGCCAGTATCGGAATCCTCGGCGTCGACATATCGAGTGACGTGCAGTTTCGTGGTCACTTGGAAGGGAAGGCCAAATTGGCCTCTAAAAAGCTTGGCGTGCTCAGCAGAGCGGGACAGTATTTCATGCCGGCACACCGCCTGCAACTTTACAAGGCGCAGGTTCGGCCGCTCATGGAATACTGTTCCCATCTCTGGGCTGGGGCTCCCCAGTACCAGCTCCTTCCACTTGACCGCATCCAGCGCAGAGCGGCTCGAATCGTTGACGACCGAGTGCTTTCCGATCGGCTCGATTCACTGGCGCTGCGAAGAGATGTTGCATCTCTTTGCGTATTTTATCGCATCTATCACGGGGAGTGCTCTGAGGAATTGTTCGGATTAATCCCAGCCGCCAAATTTCGTGAACGCACTACACGGCAAACGTCCCGATACCATCCACACCATCTGGATGCTTGGCGGTCCACCACTGTACGTTTCAAAAGGAGTTTTCTTCCGCGTACAACCTCTCTGTGGAATAATTTACCACCGGTGATTTTTACGGACCGATACGACCTGGGGACCTTCAAGAAAAGAGCTTACTCCTTTCTAAAGGGCCGGCAACGCACCTGCAATTCCCCTGGTGTTGCGGTTGATCATGGGCGGCGGTAGTCACTTAACATCAGGTGAGCCACATGCTCGTTTGCCCCCTCTTCTATAAAAAAAAAAAAAAAAAAAAAAAAAAAAATCACACAGATGGGAGCCCCAAACAGTATGATGCATATTAAAATCTCCCAAAATAACCATAGGAGGTGACAGAGAAGAGATAAGTGTTGCAAGTTCTGTTAAAACATTTACATCAGGATTAGGAATGTAAACAGAGAGAATAGAGACATCAAGGGCCTTAATAGCAACAGCATTTACTGCTGGACTATGAGAAGGGAGAGGAATTTGTGAAAATGTAACAGTTCTTGAAATTAAAATAGAGGTGCCAGCACGACCATCACTCCTATCATCCCGGAGGCATGCATAGCCTGAAACCCTAAAATGAGATTCAGGCCTAAGCCATGTCTGCTGGATGGCAAGAATGAAGGGATGAAATTTGTTAATGAGGTAAATGAGTTCATTTTTTTTATTTCTAATACTCCGACAATTCCATTGAAGAATTGGCGGGACTGCGAATGTTACGGGCTAAGGAGGAAAGCTGAGTAAGTTTTTGGTGTAAGCTGAGAGGAAGTTCCGTGTCACTAAAACGGGAGATCATGTTAATTAGAATTGATTTCATAAGTTCGCAGAAATTATCATTACTAGAGGAGTTGTTTTCATTTCCCAGTAGAGCACACCCATTAGGAAGGGAAGAATTAGGATTCTCAACAATTGCTTGATGGGCTGCCATATCATATCCAGAATTTAATGGTGGGCTGCGGGTACGTTGAGGGATAAAAATTGTTTTTTTATATGATGCAGTTTGTGAGAGCTGAGCCGAAGGGGTTGAAAGACTGTCAGTTATAGTATAAGGGGTCTGTTGAGAACAATTACGAGGCTGGATTCTTGTTGTATCAGCAAAGGATCTTTTTGTCTGAGGGAATCTAGCTGAAGCTTCTAAATATGAAATATTTTCTTGTGACATAACAAGTTTAATAGATTTTTGCCTTAGATGTTCAGGACATGTAGGGTCTTTTGCGGTATGGGGACCAGAGCAGAATAGGCAAGTAGGAGTTTGTCGAGTACAAGATAAACCTTCATGATTCTGTGCACATACAAAGCAGCGAGGAGATGATCGGCACTGGGAAGTAACATGGCCATATCTACAGCATTTATGACACTGAATTAGTGGCAAAACATATTTTTCCACTGGCATTGAGGTGTAAAAACAGTAAATATGGGGAGGAAGTTTTTGTCCAGAAAAAGTTAGAACAACCGTCTGAGTTGGAACCCATGAAACGCTATTGCTGTCACTCACTGATCGTCTATTAAGTCGCCGTGCTTTAATTATAGAACCGTATCCAGAGGGAATTTCTATAGCTGCTATTAATTCTTCTAGTGTCCACTCTATGGGAACTTGTCTAACTAGCCCCATACGAGTGATACTATATGAGGGGATGGTTGCTTCATATTTAGAAATTTGGAGAGCTGGGTGATCGATAAAGGTGTTTGCATCTGCAGCTGATTTAAACTCCACGGATATTCTATTTCGTCCAACTTTTTTGACTCCATCATGGACTATATTTTTAATATTGTTATGATACAGAAAGTGGCCGAATTTAATTGGTTTAAGAGTTACTCCAGACAGCTGATCATTTGAGATTTTACTTACGTGAACTAGAAAAGGAGCGGCATCATCTTGAGAGTACTTAACTTTTTTATTAATAAAATCAGGATGGGTATATGAGGATTGTATTGAAGGAAACTGTTGATTTGGATCAGTAATAACTATTTTTTGTGGATGGGCAGACTCGTTACTTACTTGGGCACGTTTACGTTTAATTAATTCTACATTATCAATGTTAGTGGGTAAGGAAAAGGAATCATTGCGAACCCTTCCGGGATCGGGAGGTTCGTCCTCCATTATATTACTACAACAAAAAATTACATAAAAACGGCACAACTACAAACACTTACTAATTTACAGATATTAAAACCTCCACCAAGACAGAAAAATTTACTATGGTAAATCAACAACACTTAATAAAACAATAAATTTTAAGCAAAAAAGGCACGACACTTGTATCTCTCACTTCCTCCGAAAAAACAATCTAGTGATCATCCACTGTCCACAACCATTTTTTCGACACCCTTTATGGGTTTATCTGTGTTAAAAAAACAAATTGACGTATTTACGTTTCATTATATGTAATTTTTAGTGAATTTTTTTTCATTTCCAAAATCCAAAAACAGTGTAAAAGGTTCAAGCTTAAAGCTGGCAAACCTCTAAAACTGATAACAAAATTAAAAAAATCAAGTACCTCAGTCTCACTTCGGCTTTTAACGGTAAAGCTGTGTAGCTTGTGCTCTGAATATACATTATGCAACAGGACGACGTAAAATTAAAATGGGAAATAACCGCATCAAAAATTAGATGTGACTGCATTGTCATAAAGAAACGGGCAAACATATGATAAACATTATGAAATATGTATCTACCGACCAATCTACGCGCGGGGAAGTGGGGGTGAAATTAGAATTTGAGCTGAGGTTGTATAGGCTCTTAACTGACACAGCAGTATTATACTGTTATTTAATGCTGGTGTATGCGCCAAAAATCAACACAACAACATTCAAATAAAAATAGCGTATGTAATGAACCTAGAATATAAATTACTATCCACAGCCTAACTGTTTGTTTATCCCACTAGAGGATAGAAAATTTCATATTGATTCTATAATGCCAAACTTCTTCATAGAAAAGTAGTCATAAGTATTTATGGGTTATAGTGCTGTGGGTGGGTGCAGTCAAATTTGACCTCTTGAATTTTGACGGAATATCGAAGCGGTCAAATTTGGACGCTTGTTGTTTGAGAGGTTAAAGCGTGATTCTGCCCTTCTTGAGCCAACTCATTTGTTCTGCAGTCAAAATAAGCTGCGGCATAATTCTACCGTATGAGGTAATGTATTTCAACCTGTGATAAATTTTATAGCTGTATTTGCTAATTTTTAGGTCTTGGAGCAAGTGCATCCAACATTAACAGCTGAGGAGAGTGCGCTTGAATATGTTGAGTCACTGTGTCTACGGTTGCTGGCAATGCTCTGTGCAGTCCCTTCACCACTCACCGTCCAGGTATTATAGTTAAACTGACTGATGCATGTTTAAAAAATTATTATTTCCAGAACTATTTTTATAATTTGTGATGTTTTTTCGATTAAAGAAAAAAGAACTGGAAAGTGGGCTCGAGATATGCTCTTTTTGCGTGACAACACGTCCATTCACAAGTCATGTTGCTATGACTATATGCTTTTCTTTTATTTTTTATGTTTACATCCACAAGTCGAGTGGGCCTGATGGAATCCCCTCAATTGTGCTGAGGACGTGTGCTCCAGAGTTGGCACCCTCTTTTCCTACTCCTACTCCCTAGACGTAGTCCCAAAATCATGGAAGATGGCTTTCGTCCCGACCCGATCCCTAAAAAGGGCGACCGCTCAGACCCGTCCAACTACCGGCCTATCGCCATCACCTCCTTGTTCTCCAAAACAATGGAGTCCATTGTAAACTGCCAGCTCATGAGGTACCTTGAGGATCACCAGCTGATAAGTGACCGCCAATACGGTTTTCGCCGTGGTCGGCCAGCTGGTGATCTTCTGGTCTACCTAGCTCATAGATGGGCGGAGGCAGTAGAGTCCAAGGGGGGAGGCATTGGCCGTTAGTTTGGACATTGCGAAGGTATTCGTTCAGGTTTGGCACAAAGCGCTTCTTTCGAAGCTCCCTTCCTATGGGCTTCCCGAGAAATTGTGCGATTGGATTACCAGCTTTCTTGCAGATCGGAGCATCAAGGTAGTGTAGACGGTGCAAGCTCCGATAGCAAGCCTATTAATGCTGGTGTTCCACAAGGCTGCGTGCTATCGCCAACGCTGTTTCTTCTGCATATCAATGATATGTTGCAAACCCATAACATTCATTGCTATGCAGATGACAGCACTGGTGATGCTCTTTACAGTGGTCGAGCCAATATTTTTCGGGAAAACGTCTCCGAGTGCCGGGACAAACTTGTGTCTGAAGTCGAGTCTTTGCTGAACAGAGTCTCGGATTGGGGGCGACTAAATCTAGTCCAGTTTAACCCCCAGAAGACACAAGTTTGCGAGTTAACCGCTAAAAAGAACCCCTTTGTCGTATCTCCTCAGTTTCAAGGCACTCCCCTTATTGCCTCTGCCAGTATCCTCGGCGTTGACATATCGAGTGACGTGCAGTTTCGTGGTCACTTGGAAAAAGTTAAAGTAAAGTTACAGCCTAAATACATCCCACTGCTACACACACAGGCCTCCCCTCATGTCTGAGAGGGTTTTAGGGCAAGGAAATGTTCACCGCGCGGCCCCAATACGTGTTGGCGAACTTCACATGTCTTCGAAATATTTTTTTTTCTTATTCCTCATACATGCAGGTTTCCTCACGATGTTTTCCTTCACCACCAAGCACGTGGTAAATCAGCACTTAAAATTGCAAATAACAATTTCATTGGCGCCGGCGGGGATCGAACCCGGGTTACTCGCATTCTGTTATATTTACAGCGAGCGTTAACCGTCTGAGCTACCTGGGGAGCTACCACGGTCACTTGGAAGAGAAGGCCAAATTGACCTCTAAAAAGCTTGGCGTGCTCAGCAGAGCGAGACAGTATTTCATGCCGGCACACCGCCTGCGACTTTACAAGGCGCAGGTTCGGCCGCACATGGAATACTGTTCCCATCTCTGGGTTGGGGCTCCCCAGTACCAGCTCCTTCCACTTGACCGCATCCAGCGCAGAGCGGCTCGAATCGTCGACGACCGAGTGCTTTCCGATCGGCTCGATTCACTGGCACTGCGAAGAGATGTTGCATCTCTTTGCATTTTATTTCTCATATATCATGGAGAGTGCTCTGAGGAATTGTTCGGATTAATCCCAGCCGCCAAATTTCATGAACGCACTACGCGGCAAACATCCCGATACCATCCACACCATCTGGATGCTTGGCTGTCCACCACAGTACGTTTCAAAAGGAGTTTTCTTAGGCGTACAACCTCTCTGTGGAATAGTTTACGTAGTTTAGATACGACCCCCAGGTCGTATCGGTCCGGAAAAATACGCCTGTGGACCTTCAAGAAAAGAGCTTACTCTTTTCTAAAGGGCCGGCAACGCACCCGCAATTCCCCTGGTGTTGCGGTTGATCATGGGCGGCGGTAGTCACTTAACATCAGGTGAGCTGCATGCTCATTTGCCCCCTCTTCTATAAAAAAGAAATAAATACTGGGGCAGTTTTAGTCATTTAAGTTTTTAAATAAAGTATTAAATATTTTTTTAAACGTAGGAACATGTCAATGCTATATATAAATTGTATTGTAAAAATTATTTGCTCTAGTGTCATTATCCAGGAGGAATGACACATGAGTATGTTTTTATGGACTAATAGCTGCCTGGATATCCTTTTAACTTTTTTCATTTCTAGTCCAATCATCCTACATTGGAAGGTTTTGATATAACTGCTATGCTTGGTATGATTATTGCTTACCATTATTTCAAACAAATTGAATTGTAGAAAATGTATGATCAAATTTGACACAGACAGTATTCTTAAGTACCTCATCCAATATAACCTAACCATGATTTCATTATATTACAACATACTGTTGTGTGCTTATATCACCATAGGCAGTATCATATATATCTATCTTTCATCACTTATCAATAAAAGTTTGAAGGGTCAGTAAACCAAAATGAATAAGAAAAAATAAGAAAATAAAAAAGCACTAGATTGAGTGACACATGGTATCAGAGATGCAGGAAGTTGATGGGTACAAGTTGCTCAGGACCATCCTTGGGGGAGACCTATGTTTCAGCAGTGGACTTATGAAAGGCTGTAATAATGATATTCATGGCCAAAACAATACAACTATGTTGTTGGTTGTCATTTCATTTTAGTTTTTAAATATTTAGTTCTGCAATAAGTTGGTATTTAATTGTAATTTATTTGTTTCCAAGGATGTTGAAGAACGAGTGGCTAGAACTTTCCCAACACCCTTGGACAAATGGGCACTGGTGGATGCACGCGAAGCTGCAACAAGCCGTCGCCGTCGGCTGCATTTACCACTTGACAAGCTTCACCATCTACTACAAAAAGTATGTGAGGATTCTTTAGATTTTGTTATAGCCAAATATAAATCAGTATCATCCACAGTATAGTGATTTTTTTAATTTCTTGTCAAAAAAAAGCGACAGAATTTCTTTATTACTAAATTAATTCTTACCATTCCATTTCTGATTGTGAGTTTGAAGAACAGACTAAGAGGGAGTTATCTATACTGATACATATCAATATAGAGGCTTGTCCAATGTTAAGGTCTAGTCATTGCTATTTTTTACTTTTTATTATAGGAGGTCCTTCTTTACAAGATCGACACATCAGTGTCAGTATTCATGACAGCGGTTCTCGAATATGTGAGCGGCGACATATTAAAACTAGCTGGCACATTTGTGAAGAAAATCTCACAGAAATCTGGCTACCAGACTATAACATGCAGTGATATAAAGACGGCTATGTGTGCAGATAAAGTGAGTCAAAGTTATGGTTGTCTATTTATTTCATTGTATAAAGACCTCGTTCAAAGTGGCTCTCACATGTATATATATCTATATATATATATATATATTATATATATAATAAAAATTATTTGCATTCGGGATTATACGTGACCAAAATCCCGGAATTAGTATAACTAATTTGATAAATAATCAGTGCATAAAAATGTTTAGCTAAAAATTCAGTTATGTATTATGATTATAACATAATATACTAATTGGGGTGTCTGAGGGTGTGCTTAATTACTTTACATATTGTGTATATATAATAAAAAAAATATAGATATATATATATATATAATCATTCATACATTGTACATACTTAAAAAGTAATTAATTTTAATTAGTACTTAATTTTCTCTAACATTACTGCCATTTTTTATAAGTCCGTATTCACTAAATGTGGGACATAATAAAGCTTGCATGCACCAATAAAAATTTTAATTGCTGTACAGAAACAGAATTATATAAACCCTCTGTACTGTAAATTCTATATAATGAATGGGGGTGGCGGTGGTGTGCAGGTGCTGATGGACATGTTCTACCAAGAACCAGAGCTGCTGGCGGCGGGCGCGGCGGGCGAGCGGCGCGGGCGACGCGGCTCGCTCACGTACGCGGAGCTAGTGCGCGACCTGCTGGCCGATGAGCGCCACTTCCTGCGCGACCTGCACCTCATCATACGCGTGTTCAAGGACGAGCTCGAGAAGATCCTCGAGCGTGACAGCCGGGTCAGTGCACTCCGCTACACGCAGATACAAACTCACTGCAGCTCACGTATGTGGTGCTGCACCTAATCATACGCGTGTTCAAGGGCGAACTCGAGAAGATCCTGGAGCGCGAAAGATGGGCAATGCACTCCGCACACACACACACACACACACACACACACACACACACACACACACACACACACACACACACACACACACACACACACACACACACAGTTACTGCAGCTCACGTACTTGTAGCTGCACCTCATTATACGCGTGTTCAACGACGACCTTGAGTAGATCTTCGAGCGCGGTAGTCGGGTCAGTGCCCTTCACCATACACACGCACGCACGTGAACGCACGGCACTTACCCACGTACCCGCTGACGCAGGCACATATGTGCACGCAGGAACGAGGACATGTGAAGTCAACACCCACTGTTGCAGCAAGCCGCCTGATTGCTCTGTTGTGGTATGTGTAAAGACAAGACATAATATAAGTGCCTATGTGCTTCACACTTGTTGCATATTATCTGGCATGCAATTGATAGCTTCCATTTGTTTGAAAATTGACACTGGACAAGACATCAAAGAGGTAGATTCATCATCATTTAACGAGAAGAGCTCTAGATCCAACAGTAATAAATTAAAATTACTATAACATCAGAAAATTACCACAATATTTTTATTGCAGGCAATATCATTAATATTCGGGAACATAGTTGATATTTACGAGCTGACTGTGACTCTGCTTGGTAACCTAGAGGATGCAATGGAAATGTCACAAGATTCGCTAACTCCATACATCGGCAGCTGTTTCGAAGGTTTTTTTGTATATTTTTCCATTACCACTTTGTTCAATGTATCAGGGCTTTTAAAAAAATATAGTAATTAAATAAATTTATTATTTTTGCAGAGCTGGCTGAAGTAGAAGAGTTCCGTGCATATGTCCGCTATGCAAATATTGTAACGCGTAAAGAATCGCGAGAGGCGTTACAAAATATAGTGGATGATCCAGTGGTGAGTATTTTACCGAAAATACAATTTTGTAAAATTCCTTCTTAAACCTTCCCCTTCGGGGCCCCGAAAACTTCTTTTCCCCCCCCCCCCCCCCCCCCCTTCCACCCCCCCCCCTCACCCCACACCATTTTGTAAAACCGTTTGTTGCTACATAAATAACTAGTTGCCTTGAGATTTCGATAGGACGTCGATTTCGGTCGGTTTCGATTATTTAATAGCGGGTGACATGTTCTCCTAATGACTTTCATATACATAATTCAGATAAATTTTTTTTTGGGTCAGCAACTTCTCTAACGGTGATTCGACGATTGGCTAATAATATTTTCTTCACTTTATCAATGTTATCATCTGTTGTTGACATGCTCGGGCGTCCGGCACGCTGTTCGTTGTTGACATTTTCTCGGCCCTCTGAGAACATTTTGTACCACCGATAAACGTTGCTTTGGTCCGAGGTAGCTTCACCATATGCCACAGTCAACATTCGGAATGCGTCTACGCACTTTATTTTATTTTTCACTTTTCCTTTAATACAGATTCTTTGATCCATTTTTTGGAATAGGCAAAAATCGAAGACGTGCTAAAACACAGTTGTCAAAAATTAACTAAACATTCAAAATGGCCGGCCTTGTCAACATAAGTAAGGGACATGAGTACCAAAATAAGGCTACAAAAAAAAATACGTAACCCGCGGAAATTTAAAATTCGCGATACTTTTTGAACAGACCTCGTATACTGTTGCAAGTTATATAACTGGTTTGATTGGCTATTTTATGGAATTTCATAGGATGAATTATAGCAGAGTGAGGAAGGAAGACTTTATCATATCATTTAATATGGACCATATAATATGACTAAAAGGTCCATATTATATGGGCATCATATTATATAATCCATTTCATAAATGTCCTTGATAAAAATCCCGTTGACGTGGAGTAGAGTCCAAGGTGCGAAACTCTAATTAGGGAAATTATACGTTTCACCGGATATCGGATATTCGGTCAGTTTTATCGTATAATTTGCAGAACATTGCCGTTAGGTGCATTGCAAGAAGCGAACTTGAGTAGATGGCACTAGTGGTGGCGATCGTGTGCACGCGGGACTAGGGACTTCGGGTTTTTCCGTTCATGAGCGAAGTTAGCGATTGTTTCATTAACTTGTTTTAAAGTTTTTTTATAATTCATAACAGATTTAACGACAAAAATCACATTGACAAAGAAAAGATCGCCTTTATCAAAATGTCCCACATTTTGATATAAACAATTATTAAGTGATATAACTATATAAAGTACTTAACAAAATTTTATATTTTGTATTTTTTTCATCCGGTATCCGGTATTCGGCCAGATACCGGATAGCCTTTTGCTATCCGGTATCTGGCCGAATACCGAATAGTTACCAGATATCTGTTTCCTCTCTAGAATTAATTAATGTTATGGTAACGTCTTGCGATAACGACTGTTGCCAAAGTATCGCAATCTGTGTGACTGGCATCGTTTATGTCCGTAAGCTGTTGACAAGCGCGAGGATGGGCTTTCTAAATATTGATCATTATAAATAATTAGCAGGCCATAATTTGTAATTAGCTTAGAAACCCTGCTTTTTTATCAATTCTCGCCGAGCGGACCATAGTATTGCGTTCGCGAACGCAAATGTCAGGCATAGCATCTGCAGTGAACTTCAGCAGTGGGTTGATGTTTCGTATTTAACAAAATACCTTTCTTTTCAGTTATCAGAGAGGTTAGACACGGCGGGTCACGGTTTTCGGCTAGCCGTCAAGTATTATCTGCCAAAACTGCTTCTTGCACCTGTAGCCCATGTGTTTCTCTATCATAATTATGTACTTGCGTTGTTACAAATTGCACCGGCTTCGGAAGATCGGGAGAGTTTCAAACAGGTGAGCTTATGTGAAGCAATAATACACTCACCGGCACAGAAACTTGGCCACTCGTGAAATTGCTGATTAATTGAGCTCAAACATTTTTTTAACAGTAAATTAAATATAGATGGATTTAATAAGTGTCTCTAATGGTTTTAGAACGTAGAAATTTAATGTTTACTTCACCAAAATTTTTCTTTTCAAGATAACATCTTTTCACTAAAATTAACATCTTTCCATTGTCACTTTAAAAACACTACAAAGTTAAAAATTAAGTTTGTTTCTTTATAGTTTATCAGTTTTAATATCGGATGTTTTCTCCTCTAGCCCTGATAAGTGATAACCGCCTGCATTCGATTTGGCATGCTTTGAATGATGTTTCTGACATCAACTTGCGGTATGCTGTCCCAAGCGACCAGCGCTGCATTTTGGAGCTCATTTAGAGTTCGGTGCGGTTTGGAGTTGGACTTTACCTTTCTTTTAAGCATGTCCCACACATGCTTAATTGGATTTAAGTCTGGGCTACGAGCTGGCCTCTGTAATTTTTGTATTCCAACCTCTTCCAGATATTCCGTTACACAATTTGCGACGTGTGGAAGTGCATTTACGTGCATGAGGAGGAATTGGTCGTGTCCAATGAACCTCGAATAAGGCATTACGTGCTCCGGAAGAACTTCCTCGATGTATCGAGTAGCTGTAAGCCGATTATCGACGATGACCAACTGTACGTGCGTCGGAACTTACATCTCCCCATTCCATTATTGAGCCTCCATGGAAACTCACAGATTGCGTGGTGGTAATGGGTAGAAACCTCTCTCCTCTTTTTCTCCACACTCGTTCTTTACCGTCTGGAGCACTTAAAGCTATTTTCGACACTCATCTGTGAACAACACTAGCCAATTGTTCGTGGGTACAATTGACATGTTCTCACGCAAACCGAAGTCGGGCTACTTGGTGCTGTCTGAGAAGTTCTGGACCTCGTGCTGGTCTACGAGCTTTTAAATTCACTTCCTCCATTCGTCTTCGCGCCGTACGCTCACTAACATTAACGCCTCTTGCAATTTGGAGCCGCTGGCCTATCTCAACAGCGGTCAGGTAGCGGTTTCTCAAAATCTTCAGAACAATAAAACGATCGGCCCGGGCTGATGTGTACCTTACGCCCCTACTGCCTGCCCTGCGGGTGTAGCGGCCTGTCTCCTGTTATCGTTTCAATGCATACTGAATAAAGAACCGTGGTATGTTAAGCACAATAGCAACTTCACGCTGTGTCAGCCCTTGGTCAATTAATGCTACTGCCTGTGCAACTTATGCTGGTGTTATAGCATTTTTATTGGTTTTAAAGCACCTTTAGTTATTGAATTAAGACACAAGATCACAATAATTGAATAACTTTACAGTAAACTTTTCACAACACACAAATTTAAAATGTGGACTTAGTTGCTCAAATGACACGATTCAACTAAAAATTAAAGAATTCGTTATGGTGCACTTAAACATAATGAATTCTTGAACTTGAGGGTAAACATTTTTTGTCATACCTGCATAACAAACATTCATCAGAAACACTTAAAGCCTTTACTATCTCGAGATTAGCGCTTGGCCAAGATTCCGTGCCGCTGAGTGTGTAAAAATACATTGTAAGGTTTCCAATTGTTTAATTTTGAGTAGGTTCAGTTATTTATATTGTGTGCCATATTTATAATAATTCATTTTGCATTTGTATCTATAAAAAAATCACTTTCAGGTTGAATGCAATCTTCATCCAATAAAGAAATTGTTAATAAAAGCTCTCGGAAATGGACCAAAGATGTAAGTACACTCTTTTTTAATGTTGTTTGAATATACAAAATGCCACAGCATAGTTTGTATCAATGATTGCATTAAGTCTGTGATTGTAAACCTTACTCTAAGTTGAATTAAAGGATAAATAAACTTGTATGGTGTTGGTGTAGTCCTGTGACAAATAAATGAAATGCCTTGTGAACATTGCTATTCATAAAGATATAACATTTCTATAATAGTTACAAGACAGTGTTTAGAAATTTGGTACTGTGTTGACCCTTCCATTTGCCAAACTCATTTAATATTTTCCTACCTTAAAAAAACATAAGTCTTCAAGTTATTTAATTAATAAATATATTAAATTTTAAATAACTTGAATCCAAGATAATTAGGTCTTGTATAATATTCTTCTTCGTTAGCTCGCAACTGTCCACTGCTTGGCTTGGTTATCTCCCAGTGTAGGAAAGATAGATAAATGCAATAGCTTACCTAAAAACACGAAATCAATAATTATTAGCAATAAATTGCGAAGTGACAAACATCCGAACACGGAACAATTATTTTAAGGCCATACAAACAATTTTTCTCTAAAACTTTTTCTCGAAACCGTGGTACAGCAACATCGCATCCATACGCTTAGCTACTGCGCTACCAAGCCGTCTCAGTTCAGACTATCAACTCGCCCATTGGTGGGAGTAAGAGAATCCATCTCAGTGTCTTAGGTGTTGCAAGGGGCCTGGGAGGTCTCATAGCTTCAGATAGATGGCGGTAAAACACACTCGCCAGATGTAAAATACTTACTTAGAGACGACTGACAAACGTAGCAGTTTGGTGACCACAATACCAGATTCGTCAATGGGCAGTATAAATGACTGCCTAGTTGGTTTCGCTGTCGTTAACGGTTGCTGATCATAAGGTCCCGGGTCCGTATGCCGGGGCGGGCCAAAATAATTTATTGGGTTGTTCTGCCAAGAAGTTCTCAGTAGCAGCAGCCTGAGGTCAAGAAATTGACGGTGTTTACACCTCTGTCCAGCTCCTGATCTCTCTCTGGTCGTGTCGTTCGAGCGTGAGGGAATAGAGAGTGTACCTGTGCTTGCGCATTCACTCGATCACTAATCCTAATGACTAATAGTCTTTGCTTTATAGCATGGTGCGGGTACAGCTTACATTTTGACGTGTCTAGAGATGGAAAAATGTTAAATCGATTTAAAAAACGCGAATAATGATACACAAAACAGTAAAAATTATCGATTAACTATCGATATAAAAATTAAAACCGAAACATATATTTCTTTATGTACTATAATGCGTGTAAAATTAAGTTAAATTATGACATAATAGTTACATAACAGCTTTTCTCGTGACTTTGCCTTATTAAAATTGGATTTCATGGGTTTTAATTTTTTAGCGCGGATTCCTAATTCTTTTTCTAAAATAAATGTAGCCTGTGTTACTGCTTATGACATCAGCTACCCGCCAGCGCCAGCTATAAGCCGGATCAAACAGACGGACAGAGAAACATTTAAAAATTGTTTTTGTCTTTTTGTTATAAATACTGTATATACTTTCATATGCATTTAATAAAAGGATATTGATATTACAAACAGACACTTCAATGGGTCATCAGTGGATTATACTACGTTTCAATGTGTAAATTAATCATTTTCTATTTCATGTTGATTGCAACATTCATATTCACATTTAAAAAAATAAAATGGCTGCCAGCACCATTAATTTTTTCACTGTATGTGTAATTAGCCTTTCGCCTATATGTGTAATAATGTTGCCGGATCCAGTGGGCCAAATATCGGAACGGAAGGTAAAAATAATCGAGAATTGGGTATAAAGATGTAATAAAATAAAAAAAATAGGTTTTTGTAGCCATTTTGGCCGCCATGAGTTATGATAAAGGCTTTTTGGATACAATGAGCAATTTGCTTTATAATAATTTTTTTCACCTGAGTAGACCAACGAATAATTTATCGTCCATGCATCGCAAACACTGCAAATGTGCTATGTGCGTTTTTTTTCCTTAAATCAGAATTTTTTGAATGATTAGTTCCAATTCTAATTCACATTTACGTGATTTTTATATATATACATATTCGATTTATTTCAAAACCGATTTTTGATAGTTTGTGGTTGATCGTTATGATATGGCAGTTTAACGTAGCGTCACTGTTGTAAATGGGCGGTACCCATTCATGAAGTACAACAATATCTATATGACGTTTATTTTTATCTAAAATAATATGAAACTTCATAAGCTTGAGGTGTCATTCGCACCATGCTACAACGCAAAGACTCTAGTCTCCGTTGACATTTGCCGCCGTGACTGAAAGTCGGTCCGGCGGACATTGTTATTAGTATAAGTAATTTTGTTTTACAAAAACGCTTTGCTTGGTCGTTTCACAGTTTAGTTAAGAAAGTAGTCAGGTAAGCTTACTACGGATGCATTTTCTCTTTATAGACATTAACAATATTATCATCAATAGAATCAGGCGTTACTTTGAGGAAATCCATTGTATTAATGTTAAGAATTATTTCGCACACATCCGCTCAATAAAATATGCAATTAAAAACATAACTTGTAAAAAAAACTAAGTCTCGCAACTCAGTTCTTCTACCGTAAAAAGTTGTGAGATCCATGTAATACCAAGTCGGTTAATTTATTCAGTTCCTACTTAAGGGTCCTTCTGTTTTAAGTTATTACGTAATTAGCTAACCTAACAACATTTTATAGTGACCATATCAATGTTAAAAGTCTTTTATGTTTTAAATATGTAGATTGACTTGGCCATCGCATGAAACCACAATGTATCTCACAAGTAATACGTATTATATTAAATTAGATTGCTTAATGCGATTGCCAAGTCAATCTTGTTTTTTTATAAAAGACTTTTAAAATTGCTATGGTCACTATAAAATGTTGTTAGGTTAGGTAATTACGTAATAACTTAAAACAGAAGGACCCTTAAGTAGGAACTGAATAAATTAACCGACTTGGTATTACATGGATCTCACAACTTTTTACGGTAGAAGAACTGAGTTGCGAAACTTGTTTTTTTTTACAAGTTATGTTTTAATTGCATCTCATTTCTTTTTTGTATATAAGATAGTCTTAATTTTTTACCTTTCCAGTACCTTCTACTTCTTGAGTACCAACAACGTACCTATGTACACCTGTAATACATATACAAGTACACTGGTTCATTCACTGCAAATGTAACTTTGTAATTCTATATATTTATAAGGGATTACAAAGTTATTTATGCAGTTAGTGTATCTAGAAAACTGGACAGAAATTAACAAATGTTTTAGTTTTTCCTTGATTTATACTCTAAACACTAATTGCATTCTCAATTTGAAGCTTCTATGTCTGCTAGAAGTGCCTTAGAGTTTTGATGATCGGTCAGTCAGTGAGTGACAAAATTAAGAAAGTTTAACTGGTTACAATTCTTAAACTACTGGTTCAAATTGAATGAAATTTGAAATATACCATATCTATACAATGCTTACTTGGTTACTGAAAATTCAGGATTATAGTTTTATTGACCACGAAGTTATAGGGGGTCGAAAATGACCTGAATTGCTTCGAGAAAAGATGGTACGGCCATGCCGCTTTTTTGCTCGACTTGGCGGGGGCACTGCCGTGCCCCCAGAAAATGATGTGTGCCCTCAATTTCACACATACAACCAGCACCACTACACTTGGAAAGACACACCATTGACGTTAATACGACACGTGTTTCGCCTCTACACGAGCCATCCTCACGTGATGTAGACTCTACGGTGGCTGAACGCTAAGTTTGCCGTTAAGCTCACTTAGCGGTCAGCCACCGTGGAGTTGCAGGAGAAGCAATTGAACGAGGGCGGAAGGTTCTCTTCAAACTAGGTAGGACACATTATTTTATTTTATTGAGCGGATGTGTGCGAAACGACTCTTAACAACTTTAACAATATTATAATCTTATTTTAGGGAAGCAACATTACGTACGGCGGCGAGAGCGAGACGGCAACTCGCGATAGAGAAGTGCAATGAGTTAGCGCGGCTGGTCGACAACTGGGATAACCGCGACGTGGGACAATGGTGCAATGAGTTCATACGAGGTCAGGGACTTTCCAGTGTTTATTTAAAAATATAGATGAAATGTACGTGGACAGTAAAGGCATATTTTAAATTACTTTTCATTACTTTAGAGGATACACTTTCGAAGATAGGCCCAGGAAAACGGATAGCAGAGCGTCGGGCGTATCTCTTTGATGGTTTACTGTTACTTTGTAAACCTATTACCAGTTTGGTAAGTATTAAATGAATAGTATAATTCATTAGTGAAATGCTATTTAAAGTCGAAATTTTTTAAATTACACCCTATTTAACTTTTTCAAGGTGGCCGTCAATAGCAGCGGTTTGACGGCTGGTGGAAGTGGCGGCCAGCAGTTAAAACTTAAAGAAAAATTACACGTGCGAAAATTGGAATTGGTTGACAGACCTGATACGGATGGTAAAGGCTTAATTACTATTTTATTTAACATATTTAGTTATTCTTGTACATGTTTAATTAAAACTAAGCAATTTTATATTTGGATATTTATCACGATTATACTTTGAAGTAATATGTACTTACATACTAGAACAGCTATCTCAAACATAAAATGTGCGCTACTCTGTGTTCGCGCGGTTGGTTTTCTTTATCATAGAATAAACATAGGGAGAATGATCCTTAGGTAATAGTAGAGTGTATTGTTAAATAGGTAAATTATATCGAGATAATACTGTATTGTGTAATTATGTGTGTGGTATTATCGTCGATGGTGTGTCTTACCTGGAATAGTGGTGTTGGAAATAGTGGTGCCGGGAGTATTGGTGTTGGGATTAGTGGAGGGCGGGAGGTGTTCTTCAATCCAGGTAAGACAAATCATTGTATTTAGTTAGCGGAAGGTTGCGAAGTAATTAATATTTTATTATATAATGGATTTCGCAAAGTAACGCCTGATTCTATCAATTATATTAGAATAAGAGTCGTTCGTAAATGCTGGGCACGCTAGACTTAAAATGGAAGAATTTATTCCACTTTTACTTTGAAGTGGAAACTTAAAAATAAAATAAAGGAATAATAAGCAGATTTAAACATGAAAAATTTAGCCTCATCATCATCATCATCATTACAGCCCTTCACAAGTCCACTGCTGAACATAGGCCTTCCTCAAGTAATGCCACGAAGCACGGTCCTGAGCCACCTGCATCCATCGACTTCCTGCATGTCTTACCAGGTAGTCACTCCATCTAGTGGGGGGTCGCCCTACACTACGCCTACCGGTACGAGGCTGCCACTCGAGAACCTTTCTTCCCCATCGGTTATTGGTTCTTCGAGCTATATGGCCGGCCCATTGCCACTTCAGCTTACTAATACCGTTGGGCTATGTCGGTCACTCTGGTTTTACTGCGGATATCCTCATTTCTGAGTCTATCACGCAGAGAAACTCCGAGCATCCCTCTCCATAGCTCGCTGAGCGACCTTGAGCGTCCTCAATTTAGCCTAATTATAATAATTTATATATGTTTTTACAAAAAAAAAATGTGTATAATAATATATTTGTCCTATACTCAATTATCCACAGAAATGTCGCATCTGAACATATTAATTTCATAATCTATATTCCATGACACGAGATGGCGTCTTAGGAATAATTTGTTTTATTATTAATTTATAATAATTTTTTTATTGATTAAGTATCTTATTAACCGATGAAAAGTAATTCCTTGGTTTTTACTGACATTTTTTGAATTATTTGTGCAATATCTAAGTACACACGACGGCATATTTTTATCAAGAGATTTTTTTTAAATCAACACAACACGTGACAACTCTACAAGCGCCTAGCAAGTGACTGATTAAAGTGCGGTGTATGCACCGCAGTTGAGTGGAACAGAGTAGCTGAATGCAGTGTCGCCTCTAGTACGTAGTACATAATATCTCAATGCGATTATATTATATTCTAAATTTTATGTAAAGTTGTTTTATTGTAAACTTCTTTAGAATCATTGTCATTTGAAACTCGATGAAACGAAAAAGCGACATTAAAAAGAGAAAAACATATAACCATAGGATTAAGCCTGCAAGAGAATGAAATATAATACAATATAGTGTTTCCTATAATGTATAATATAATTTTTAAACTTGGTAACAATATTATAATAAGTAAACCCTACAATTATCCTATTTCTGATACTTCCTTCTGATACATTCATCTCATTCTCTCGAAGTTTAGTTTTTTGAAGGTTTCACTTCTACCGCATGTGACCTGTACACGTTTTTTCGCACCTTTGACATATTAATAACATACTGTATATATTAGAAAGTCATGCTATATATGTTATAATAAGTGGAGAATTTTGAGTTCTTTTGTGCTGTTTATAACTTTGATCACTTTTAATTTTTGCGATGATTATTTATTTGCCAAAAAATAGTTATAATTCTTAATTATTCGAGATGAAAATTACATAACTGAAAAACTGTGCAGAGGGCCGACATATGGTGGAGCTGTGCCCACGCGTGGGACCGCCTGTGCTTCTGGCGGCCGCGTCGTGTGCGGAAAAGCGCAACTGGATGTGTGACCTTGTCATGCTTAACACCAAGCCCATGCTGGACCGTAGTTTAGACAGGTCAGGAATTCTCAACTTGTTTCGAACTTATGAGGTAAAATTATAAATGATTAATCATGTGGAGCTCATGCGCTAAGCACTCGCTGTGAATTTCAAAGTAAGCAAGCAACCAGGCATCAATAAAATAGTTGCAAATTTTAGTGCAAATTTATCATACTATTATCCCATGAGCGTCGTAAGAAGCAACAGTGAGAAATAAAATAGGAAATGGGCAGTAGTATCTGATAACAACTTAAAATGATGAAAAATTACCTACCCACTTGCCAAGTGTGGCAACTGTCCACATGTGGAAAATATTTCCCTATAAGATTGTCTCTGAGTACTGACTGGCCTTAGTCTTGCTGCTGATAGTTGTTTTTTTACCATAGAATACTATAATACACAATAGAATGGCTGTCAAACTTATTTTGTAGGAGGATTGTCACCGTGAGCACACATACAAGCATTACATCTTATTATCAATTATCACTACTACAAACACATTTTAGACTTTTGATTAATGTTTTTGTCACATAAATGTTTCTTTATTTTTGATTCTAATATTCACAAAATATAAATAGTTACGATTACGGTTGTAGAATATGTCTCCTTTATTTAAATTCCATTTCCCACTGTTCCTTCCACACGTAATTATTGCACAATTTGCCATTTTTTAAATAATTTGCATGCAGAGACGCTTGACGCGAAAATTGGAAACGATTGATTATGTTGACATTTATACTTGTGAATTGACGTGTTAGTAACATGTTAGTGGCTACACGGGCTCCGCCCACTCCCCCGTTCTATTATGTATCTATTTATAACATTCTATGTTTTTTACTATTTGCAACTTTGTATAGTAATTTAGAGATTTATTAATAAAATATTTACTCTGCAGTATACTATTAGACCTGGAACGACGGCATCCTTTAAAGCTACCACCGGTCCATTTGTATCGATTTGCCGTTCCCGACTCGCCTGACAATATCGTGCTGGAGGAACGAGCGTCACCTAACACTTCACCAGTGCCTCTAATTAAGGTATCAAACTCATTTATTTATTTCTTATGTCTACTAGGTGGGAGTTGATAATTTATTTATAATTTATATAATTTAATTATTAACTCTCTATTTAATAATTAAATTATTAAATCAAGGTACACATACTAACAACATTCTAATTTTCACTTACTTGAACTTAATATTTAATAAAAATTTGACTTTTTGATGAATATATCGAGTATTTTGTCATACATAAAAAAAAACAGTAGAATTGTGAACCTTTTTTCGGTGTCGGCTAAAATTGATGGCCAATCCTACTGCTAAGGGTTACGCTTCGCCCCACCTGCACTACAATTAACCACTTTTTTATTTTATTATTTGAAGTTACTGCGTACATATAATAGAGATACAATTCGCGTTCTCAGTTAAAGCCACCATGTTGATATTGTTTATTTCGACTGGTTAGCCCTTATAGGTTATGGGTGTTAATTTAGATATTTCCTCGTCCACATTATTCGAACCCTTTGTATTAGGTGTTCTTTTTATGTAGAATAGTGAAATAAAGAAGTTAGAAAAATTGAATATTTCTTACAGGGTGCCACACTTCTGAAACTAGTGGAAAGGCTTACGTATCATATCTACGCGGACTTGAATCTGGTGCGAACATTCCTGACAACATACCGTTCATTTTGCTCCCCGAGTGAGCTGTTAGACTTGTTGATTGAGCGGTTCCGCATTCCAGAGCCTAGTGAAGTGTATGATGCACCAAGAACAGGTATATTAAAATATCTACTCATACCTAAATATTTCAGTATATTGTTTTGTTTTCTTTGTCCTCTTTATATATCTCCTTGATTTCTTGTCTTTAATGAATCTGTAAAAAGAAAATTGTCTCTAAGTCATAACTTGTAAATGTTTAAAAAAACTAAATATTTAAGCAGTTTGCTTAAACTTTGTTCACATAAATTTATTAACCAACAATGTTAAAATAAAAAAATATATTAATGAAATTTAGTGGCTTTTTAAGTCGAATTATATGCACATATGCATTTTTTATAAATAATATGCACTTAATGATTAAGTAAAAATTTATTCAATATTTGTGCATGCTAGTCTCAAGGATCAAGCCTCTGAAGAAAGATATAAGTCCAAACTCATCTATATTGGATATTGAAATCGGTAAAGTATCATGATGTCTCTATTTATTTAATTTGATTGTCGTGCAAAGACACAACATGTTAATAAAAAAAAATTGCTTTAGTTTTTATCTTGTTAGGATTTAAATATTTATTTACATTATTCACCAAATATTTCCAATTCCTTGCCAGATTGTGTGGAAAGTACGGCGAGCAGTGATGCCGAAAAATTAAGTAAAAACACAGCAAGAGAGGATTGGAAGAGATACAGAAAGGAGTTTCAGCAGCCAGTGAAGTTTAGGCATGTTGAAAATTATTTTTTATATATTTACTGGAAATAAATAGTATAGTCAACCCTAGTGTGGGCCTTGTGAAATAATTATTTGGAGAAATAATTATTTAGGAGTCACTGTTTGATATTTGATACTGATACAGTAAATATGCTGCATCTACACCCTTTGCAGTAGTTATAATAAAGCTGTAGTCAAATTTTTATATATTTTTTTTATTTATTAACGTAATAAGACATTATCTTTAATAACAACTTTTACCTATTTATAGTGTAGGAAGCTATCTGTATGTCATGTGATTTATAGAATAAGATAACCCCGTAATCCCGAGAGTATTGAGGAAATAATTTTAAACTGTAATTGCTGACAGGTTGGAATATCAAAACAACATATCCAAGATCTTCCTTCATATGTAAAAGCAGTTTAGTAATAATCTACATAAGTGAAATTTTACAACCCACCTATTACAATGTCTATTGAAAATTACAGTAGTTACTAATTCCTTCGATTACTTACTTACTAATAGCTTTTTATCATTTTATACGTGGTAGAGCCATGCTGCAGTTATATTAATAGTATAGTTGTAGCACGAATGGGTCGGCTCGACCAGGGAAGGACCACACCCTCACAGAATACCAGCGTGAAATAGTAACTTAATGCCTTCTGTGTTTCGTATGGTGAGTGTAGAGAACCGGAGACCCTTTTTACTGGAAACGAGGCATTCCATCTTAGTCCTCACGGGTGACAACGCATCTGCATTTTGATTTGTAATCGAAGATAGATGTAGATATGTATGGGCCGCAGCAACCACTTACCATCAGGTGGACTGTGTGCTCGTTTGTCACCCTATCCTATAAAAAAAAGCTTGGCCAATCTGGTTGGCAAGCATGGTAGTTATGGCTTATTCTCTATAATATGGGAAAGCCAATATCTAGCCATGGACCGTTTGTATAACAATGGAAATTAAGTGGATGCAATGTAAACCCTTAATCATAATATTAAAAGTTTTGAGTATGTTTACTCTCCCGTATGTGGTAATTATTATTATTTGCTATTATGTTTCATATTGATAACATATATTTATTATAATTCTCAGAGTTATCAACGTGTTACGACACTGGGTGGACCAGCATTTCTACGATTTTGAACGCGAGCCGACGCTATTAGAAAAACTTCGTGAGTTTTTGGAGTCCGTCGACGGAAAACCCATGAAGAAGTGGGTGCAAAGTGTCCTCAAGACTGTACAGAGAAAGGTTTGGATTACAAAGTGATAAACATAAAGTTTTATGAAAGTGTTCCTAGTAAGAAGTTGTTGTGGCTGCTTAAAATATTATGATGTAATATGTAACAGTGACTTTGGCAAATTATTAAATATTGTAGAGTCAACTAGCTAACTTATGGTGTGTAACAGCATTGCGCGTCTATTACTGTTGCACTCTGTAGTGTTGTCATGTGCTTTATATTTTTGATTGCTGTAATAGCTAGGTGACTACAGAAATGGTAGGGAGCGCTGTAACCTAAGTGTCCTAACTTCCTTACACAACTGTAGTTTTCTATCATCCTAAAGACCGATTTACACTTCGACAAGTACACTAGCGAGTTTAGTTACAGGGTTGACAGTAAACGGTTAAGTGGGCAGTAGCGTTCAAACAATGTCTTCGTGGCGAGTTTAGTTAAGGACATTAGTTCATAGAGTTCGTTGGAGTATGACGTTTCAAGACTACAGAATTTTTCTTGTTTTCGTTTATCGTTTTCGTCTAGGATTACATCAAGAACTAAATGATATAGTTATAGTCAGAGTAATATTACTAGTTGTTGTCAAAGAAGTTTTTAAGAATTTTCATGAGTGCAACATTTCAAGCAGGTTTAATTTTATAAAATGAACTTCTACTATTATATAAACATTCGTGTTCTAAATACGAATTTATACGTAAAATCTTCCGTCCATTTCATTATTAAAAGTCAATGTAAAACGTATAAATATTCAATAAACAGTACCATACAAACTTTTTGGCGAGTTTAATTATAAAAGTACAATACGTTTTAGCGCGTAAACGTTGCGTCGTTTTCAACTTATGCACTGAACTAAATGGAGCTAAACACGCTCGTTGACACAAGCGGCGAGTTTGTTTGCGGAAGACGCGCGGGAGGGCAACACTTCTTACTCAACTCGCCGAAAAATAGCCCGGCCGGCTATCCCGTTCAACTTAATTGTTAACTTGCTACTTAACTAGCCTATTGCTGTTCAAACGAGATTTTCTACTTAACTCGCCATGTTCGCAAGTTAACTCGCTACTGTACTTGTCGACGTGTAAATCGGTCTTAACAGCCATAAAGTGATTATGTATTGAGGCTGGAAATGAAATAAGCACGGAGGCTGGACATCTTTCACACTGGAAATCTTGCAAACTCATGAGATCGTGGTTAGGCTAAAGCTGTCATATGTCTTGGCCACAGTGAGAGAATTGTTGGTCGATATGTAGAGGCGGAGAGCCTTCAATGAAATAACATCGATGTCCGAATCTAAAGAGTCCTAGGTTCGATTCCCCTAGGAATCTTTTTTTGTATTTAGCCTACGAAAAGTTGTTATGTTCATATGTAACTCCATTACGGCCTGACCACGGGGAACGGCGGCGCGAACGGCGAAGCGACAGGCAGGGCGAAAATTCGCGCGGCGCGATTTGAGGGCCACGGGAAGTCACGTTTGCCGCCGCGACCAGATAGGCCGAGAGTGAAATCTCTATCAAAATTATCATGGTATTGCTTAGAAAGTAATTGTTTTTTGATTCAAGACATAATATTTGAAAAAGATTGCGGAGTATATGATTTGAATAGGAATCGGGTTATAAATGGAGAATTCCACAATAGAATGCATCTAGAAAAAAATTTCGATTAAATACCAGAATGAGTGTCGAAACCTGCGATTATATTCTTCTTAATATTCAACCAGAATTGGAGATAAAAGTCAATAAGGATAGAATTTTAAGTTGTTTTTGTCGGCCCGACATTTTTCGCGGCGAAAACAACTAAAATATTTTGTTCCCTATACTATTCGTCGCGCCTGCCGCCGCGTTTGCTGTCCGACTCCGTGGCTTGCACCGTACTGATTCATACATTTGTTTCATTCGCCCACCGCGCCGCCAGTCGCCCGCGCGATTCGCCCGGTAAATTTCGCCGGTCGCGTCGTCGCCACTCGCCGCTACGCGTGGCTTGCTTCATACATTTCTATACATTTGTTTTAGTCGCTAGATGCCTCGCCGTTCGCGCCCCGCGAATTTTTGCTACGACGAATGTCCCGTGGCCAGGCTGTTTGTTACAGGTCATAATAATACAGTGTTTTGGCAAAACTCGATATAAATAATTCTATATTAGGTGTCCATCTTCAATTACTTAAGGTCCGTATTGGGATGAAGGGGGCACCAGAAATAAATCACAATAAACAAATGTAATTGTGTGCTGTTTAAAATATTTTTCATTAAAAAATTTAATACCCGTGATGTTGAGAGAGGGGTTGAAGGGGAGAGGGGTGGGGAGCGATAACCTGACACCACACGATATAATACCAAGCGTTTATTGACACGTTATTGGATAGTACCTGACCTCCCTAGGAGGGGAGGGAGATTCCTCGTGTCGTCGTCGCCGCTTCTGCGTTGTAAATCTTCACTATACGGTTAATGTGGGCGTATATAAAAGGTTGTGATTTCAATATTCTTAAAAAAAATGTAATAAAAATTTAATTTCCAGAGCGGAGGGAGCGCGGAGCTGGAGTGCGGCGGCGGCGTGTCGCACGTGTTCGACCGCGCGCCTCCCGCCGTGCTGCGCCACGTGGCGGAGCCCGAGCGCCACGCATGGCACCCGCTTGCGCTGCATCCGCTCGAGCTGGCGCGCCAGCTCACGCTGCTCGAGTTCCAGCTCTACCGGCAGGTACGTGCCGTGCCACGTGGCAGAGCCTGAGCGCCACGCCTGGCACCCGCTCGCGCTGCACCCTCTCGAGCTGACGCGCCAGCTCACGCTGCTCGAGTTCCAGCTCTACCGGCAGGTACGTGCCGCGCCACGCCTGGCACCCGCTCGCGCTGCATCCGCTCGAGCTGGCGCGCCAGCTCACGCTGCTCGAGTTCCAGCTATACCGGCAGGTACGTGCGTTAATATGGATGTAATACGAATAGGTTGGCTCATCCAGGGAAAGATCACGTTCTTACAGAATACCAGCATTAAATAGCGTAATGGTTCTGTGATTTGTATGGTAAATGTAGAGAACTGGAGAACCTGTTTTTTAGAAACGAGGCTTATTTCAGCACTTCTGTGTACCGACAGTCAACTTGGCACCGTTTGAACCTGTAGTACCGATAAAATTTTGACAGAATCAAAGGTGAATCATACGCAAGACAAAGTTGCAGAATATACTCTTCGGTCTTCTGTACAATTTGCTGAAGAGGTATGTATGTGGTTTATTGTACTAAAGCTTTCGAAAACAGTGATTGACGATTAGTAATGAATCTTGAAAATAGCACGTAGATGCCACTCAGAAGAGAAATCAGTCTGTAGTTCTTTAATAGAGCGTCGTCGCCTTTCTTGAAAAACATGACTACCGCACTTCTGCTCCACGCCTCGAGAGTAGTGCCACCATGTAGGACGAAGTTGAAGAACCTCTGAAGTACTTTAAGTACTGATTTTCAACAGCTTTCTGAAGCTTGACTGTAATTCTATCTATTGAATATAGAATGGCAAATCGTAGTACTACTAACATACCATATATTACTCGCAACTTGCATCCAGGATGGGCTTCCCAAGCTCATCCTCTTTAGCCGACATGAATGTATGTGTATAATAAAATAGATCATATATAAACTATTCTAATATTAGTTTCATAATTTTTTTTTGTTTGTGTTTCAAACCGATTATTAATACTGATTTTTAAATTTGTGGAGAATTGAATTACATAATTCTAATAACATTGCCTTTCCTACCTAGGTGAAACCATCAGAGCTTGTGGGTGCAGTATGGACCAAAAAAGACAAGGATAAAACCAGTCCAAACCTGCTTAGGATAATAAAACACACCACAAATGTAAGTTTACTTCTTCAGTTGTTTTTAACTGTCATAGATATAAGATATTTTTTTTCGGTTATGTATAGAAGAATGATAAAGAAAGTGATCGGATGATATCTCAATTTTATTATTACATATAAAATAAAATATCAATATTTTCTCTTAGCATTTTTATATGCTTTGAACTAATTTCCGACTCAAAATTTTCTGATTGCAATCAAAAGTTGGAGTATTAAAGTTAATGAGAACATTTTAAGAGGATAGAGTAAGTCAGCTCAAATTCTAATTTCGCCCCCACTTCCCCGCGCGTCGTATGCTATATACCGATATGTTTGTAATCACTAATACTGTAAGTAGAAAGGTCGTTAGATACTTATTTCATTAGGTTTATCATATTTATGCCTGTTTCTTAACGCCAAACCAGCCGCTGCTTATTTTTATCACGGTTATTTTCCATTTTAATTTTACGTCGTACTGTTGCGTAATGTATATTCTGATCGTAAGCGACACAACTTCTCCCTTCAAAAGCCTAAGCGATACTAACGGGGCGACTGGAATCAAGCTCAAGACGCCGATAGTTTAGGTAATTTCTTTTTACAGTGAAAATAATGGTATTTTAAAAAAAGTAAATAACATAAGCACTGCTTTATAGTTAATTCAGTTAGTATGCAAAGTTTCATGATCTTATTTAAAGTATTTTATGAATAACAGCGGTTTATTGTTTATTTTGGAGGTAACTTTGGATTTTTTTTCTATCGAGATTATAATTACTTTTTTACGAAATCGTGTTTTCGTCTAACATAATCATTAACATTAATCCTCAACTTTACCATATATTTATTTCAAAATTAATGCTGCAATATTATCGGCATAACGAAGGATCTTGCTAAGCCATTTGACATTATATTTCCCCTTAATCGATGAGAATTTGTGTATAAGAAGAAATAGTTATGTATGCACTATGAATGGGTAGGTACGACTGGGGAAACACCAAGTTCATACAGAAGGCCAGCATGATGCTGCAGTGTTGTATATGGTGAGTGAGCAAGACCGGAGACCAGATTTAACTAGTAGTCCGTCTTAGTTATCAGGGATGACAATACAACTATATCTTGATTCTCTATGAAGGATAGTTGAAGATAACCCTTTGCCACCGTATCCACTTACCATGTTGGACTGTGTGGTCATTTGTTACTCTTACTTCTATAAAAGAAGAAAATAATAAAACTTTAATTTTTTCAATATTAATATAAACAAGTGTATTTTGTTTTATTACCAGTTTACCAGATGGATGGAGAAGTGGATAGTGGAGAGTGAAAACCTGGAGGAGAGAGCTGCAGTAGTTTGCAGATTTCTAGAGTTAGCCATTGCGTTACGTGACCTGAATAATTTTAATGGTGTGTTGGCGGTGGCTGCGGCTTGCGGCAGCGCTTCTGTACATCGGTTACGAGCAACTTTTCAGGTATAAATAAGTTATATTTATGAGTGAGTTCAATCTATAATTATTTTTGTGGAATTTAAAAACGCTTTTAGTCAATGGGTGCGTTTGACAGAAAAAAGCACTAACAAGCGCCTGTAAGCAAAATGGCGATCGTAAGCGGTAAGCGCTGTCAAATCGTAAGTAGCTATTTTCCTCTAGGCGACGAAGTTAGTTTTAACTGGGGAACCTAACCTAATTTAAATATATGTTTGTTAAGTATTCATATTAAAAACTTACCAATTATGAATTTTTAATAAGGTGTATATGTTTATTTATGTCATTATATTGCTTAAAACTAATATTGTACAAAACAACTTATAAACTCTACTTCAAAATAAACAAATTAAATAAGCAAAATGGCGGATTGTGTCAACGCTACTGAAGTTAGCAAACATGTCCTGGCCGAAAACTGTTTAGTTTCGCCATTTTGCTTACAAGCGCTTGCTAGCGCTTTTTTCTGCCAAAAGCAATGTTGGATACAGTCTATTGAAGCATGATGTGATATCGTCTAGTTTTTTGAAATTACAACTACATATGGCCTAGTGGATTTGTGTTTAGACTGACTATTATTTCCCAGTGGTTATGAAGAAGATGCTGCAGTCAATCTCGTTTTTCAGTTTCTCACTGTGGTGATGGAACATTAGCATTATGTAAATGTCCAGCCACGGATTAATATATTTAGGTTGCTGTCATATTAAACAAATCGTAATCACACAAAGTTTTGCGAATTTAATAAAAAGTTCTATGGTTAAAGTTTTTATTATTAATTAAAAAAAAAAAACTTCACCAGCATCTGAATCAAGTTTCATATGTCTGGACCAATTACCGAAACAATTTCCGGTCCGCCTCAAACACTTCTTCACATTGCCATTGCTTCTATAAATCTGTATCCTCTTTCAACTGAATTTTTATATTAGGGAATAAAAAGTAGTCACACGGCGCAAAATAAAGACTTGTAATGAGAGTGGCTCAAAATCTTAAATGGTGTGGTGTCCAGGAAGCCCCCCCTTTTGAGCGTTGAGCACGGTCGCGTTGTCATGGTGAAGAACTACCCTTCTCACGGAGCCCCAAGTACATCGATTTCATTAAGGAAATGATTGACACATACCTCGTCAAAGTGAAAAAACTAGCGATCAAAATCTTCGCGTTTCTTGATCACTTCACTTTGGAAGGCGTTGGATCATTTTGAAACGGTTAAACCGTCGAATGGTAGTTCGTTTCGAGATTTTATCGATTAATCCAATATTAATCTCCTGTAATAATATCGAAAACACTTCAATTTCAGTAATCAAGACACTGCTTGATTCAACGCTAGCCTGCTTCTTAGCAGCGGAGCGTTTGTGTTGCACGCAGCGCGAAACTAGGAATAGAGCAGTAGACTTACGTGAAGAAAGGTTTAACAGCCGTCAAAAAGTAACCACTTCACACTTTTGAGAGATCTCAAAGTTAGTTCGATCAAGTCGAAATTTATTATAAAAAAATTGTTATGGAATAAGGCAATATTTAAAGTATTGCCTTATTCCACAACAATTTTAGCGCGAAAAAGCCTTGTGCAAAAAAGATCCCGATGCATATCCATTTTTCAATGAAACATATTTCAATTTTGCTGGTTAAAAATGTTGAAGGAACTTCGAAATTGGGACATTTGTTTTGGTTTTACTTGTATTTACAAAATAAATTGTTTCTTGCTCATGCCTCCTGCAAAAAATAGTTTTATTTCGCAAAATTGCGTGGCTTTTTGTATGATGTAATGGATACAGGACAAGTGATGCAAACTTAACACACTCTTTCACATAATGTGTTTTAATATGACTATCTTGATTGTTTTTATCAAGGTTTATATCTAACGTTACTGCTTTGACTTGCCAATGCTCTTTGCATTTAGAAAAGTTAATCACTTATCACTTGACGTTAATTTTTAATAAATTCTTCGTTTTTCCCTTTTCAGATGGTTCCACTTAGGCTAATACGCGCTTTGGAAGAGTTCCGTGAGCTAAACTCTGACCATTTCCGGCGGTACCAAGAGCGGTTACGGAGTATAAACCCACCCTGCGTGCCCTTCTTCGGCATGTACCTGACAAACATTCTGCACATCGAAGAGGGCAATCTTGGTAAGTAGAAATTGACAAAAAACCTATTTGTCTTAGTTAAATTATGGTTTAGATGTGTATCCACCATGTTTTCAAATGAGGCAATAACATCTTCCTGATACGTATGTGTTACTTGTTTCATCAGTTCATCACATTTGCATAAGAATGTTCCTTAAGCTTGGCATTCAAATAGAAATTCTATCGATAAATTAGTCTTTATATCCTGATTATAAGTCAAAGTCAATGTGCCAAATTAGTAAAATGGGTGGGCGTAAAAATAGAAACTGCTCAAACTTATTGATGCAAGCATAACTCAATCTAATGTTTACGTCCATAAAAACCCTTTCTGCATTGGACATGTCAATTGCCAGTGTTCAATTGAAATAGGAAAATGTTTGAATGACTTGTATTGACATAGAATGTTCAACATTTTTCTCTTTGAGTTTATACCCCGTGCGCAATCGGCGAACTAATAATTTCGGAAATGCGATAGTGAAGTTCGGGAAGCAACTACGGGCAATCGGCCTACGACATTTATGATTATTAAGAACCTCTCCAATGATGCTAAGCAATTTTCGTGATTGTGTGGGGGGACTGGTACATTTCACACAAACAATCATACACTCACACACACGTACATTTACTCTATACACCCTTCCTACCAGTTGTTCGACGTCTCGTAGGTTCGATACCGCGCGCCGTCGCCGATACAAGACCATAATATATGGTAATATCGTAATGCAGTGATTGCGGACCGGCGGTGAGAGAGCACCACCCCCTTGATCAGTCGATCAGTCGCTTACGTGCTTCGATACGGAGAGATTGTCGCATTGTCTTGCAGACGCTTTAAAAATTATTTACGTGCGCCTATCTTTGAAACATCTCATTTCACGTTTCTCTCTATCGCGGTATTTCTAATTGACAAAACTTGTGTTGCATTCTCCTTCTTTATATTTGTCTGAATATTAAATCGCGAATTTTTAGTACAGGACTACCTTTTATTTGTTAACCCTCCTTCTGTCTACACACACCTAGCAGGTACATCACCCCACTGCAATTGTATACATGTTATATATACTGTTACGCACTCAAGTCAACTAGCGCCATCTAGTGTCAGGAACGAGAGCGAGGGGAGCATTGAGAAAATGACATCACAAATCACTTAACCGACAGCGCCTAGTCGAAACTCGAACGCTCGGTACCTTGCGCGTGTTTACTTGAACATTCTGGATATTTCTTTGCTAATTTAAATATATAGGCGCTGCAAGATGCGATCGTAGTAGAGTTGAACTCAGCGACACAAGCGAAGCTTCGGAGCGGAATTAAGTGAATTAGTGTGTTTAATTATTAGTGTTTTTAGTTTTAATTTGCGTAAAGTAAATTAAAGTGTTAATTTAGGTAATTTTATCGGCAATTTTTATTGTCACGAACCTCAAGCTCGTAACAATTGGTGTCAGAAGTGGGATTAAATCATGCCGATTTTACCTAAGGAGGAAACGGAGGGTGTTCGTACCCGCAGTCAACGCCAGCATGAGACGGACCAGAGGAGATTTGGTGGTGCAACGCCGCAGACGTCGGAGGGCCAACTGCCAGCCACGGAGACTGCGGGCCCGTCAGTAGCTCCTACATCTGCAGCACCTGACTTAGGTGCTCTGATGGCGATGCTACAGGAGAAGCTGCAGCGCGGACGAGAGGAACAGGCCCGTCTGTTGAAAGAGCAGCTGCAGAGCGGACAGGAGGAACAGGCCGGTCGCTTAGAAGAGCAGCTCAAACGCGATAGGGAAGAGCAGATGCTTCTCATGAAGGACCTTCACGCTACCTTCGGGAAAGAGATAAGGGAGGTGAAGGATAAGGTTGCTCAACATGATAACCGCCTGTCGGAAGCTGAGACCCAAATCAACCAAGTTAAGAAAACGCTGGATGAACTCAAACTTGGAGATGGAATTGCAGCCCCCGCAGTAGCTACTACACCTTCGCTACGTGGGTTCAAGGTACCACCGTTCGACGGGACTTCTTCCTGGTCGGCCTACAAAATCCAGTTCGAGGCCGTCATGGAGGCAAACGGCTGGAATAAAAGCCAGGCCATGACTGCACTCACCTTAGGCCTGCGCGACCAAGCCTTAACCGTGTTGGAAGCTCTCGGTAAGAAAGTGACCTACGAACAACTCCTTGAGGCATTGGAGGCGAGATATGGCGACGCTCACCTGGAACACGTCTTTCGTGCGCAGCTTAAAGATCGTGTGCAGCGCATCAACGAAAACCTGCAGCAGTGGGCTCTAGAAGTGGAGAAGCTGGTGCGAAAAGCATACCGGTCTGTACCTGCGCTCATTGAAGGGAACCTGGTGCAGACATTCATCGACGGCATCCGCGACCTGGAAGTCAGAGCTGCTGTGAGGCTCGGGCACCACGAGACGCTTAAGGACGCCTTGGCCCATGCACTGGAAGTGGAAGCCGTGCGGCAGGATCATCGTTCCCATCGCGTCAGGGAGGTTGCAGCAGCTACAGTCCGTGACCGCAGCAAAGGATACAGCCCTAGGTGCTATGGCTGTGGGGAAAAGGGCCATCTTCGATCCAGCTGCCCTAAACTAACCGTGGAAAGGAGAGTTGATCGATCTCGAGAGGGTAGTACAGCTAACGGCACTGCCTGGCGGCGACAGGATCATCGTTCACCTCACGCTAGGGAGGTTACAGCAGTTACGGTTCGCGACCACAATAAAAGATACAGCCCTAGGTGCTATGGCTGTGGGGAAAGGGGCCATCTTCGGTCCAGCTGCCATAAGCACACCCTAGGAAGGGAAGGTGAACGGTCTCAGAAAGGAAGTGCGGCTAACAGCACCGCCCAGCAGCAGCAGGAATACGACTTTACTATCAGACACTGCAGCGGGAAATCTCACGGCAACGCAGATGCATTGACAAGAAGACCTTGTCCTGAAGATTGCAACCGTTGTAGTAGGCAAGAGAGTAAGGAAGTGGTATCCGTGAGGATGCTCAGGACAGACCACCTCAGCAACGGGTGGAAGGACAGCCTACGACATGCACAGCAGGAAGATCCGGACATCAAGCCGATTCTGGGATAGATGAAGGCCCGTGCTACCAAGCCTAAGTGGAGGGACGTCTCAGCGATGAGTTCAACCACGAAAAGCTATTGGGCCCAATGGGACAGCTTGCTGATTCAGGATGGAGTCCTGTGCCGTAAATGGGACAATAGTCGAAGGGACAGCTGTCGTTTGCAAATGGTTGTCCCTAAAGCTAAAGTGCCGAATGTTCTACAGCTGTGCCATAATGGTCGTTCAAGAGTCCATCTGGGAGTTAAACGAACTCTACTGAAGGTCCGAGAACAGTTTTACTGGGTCCATTATCGTGACGATGTCGAGGATTGGTGTCGTACATGTACAAGTTGTGCGGCCGTGCGGGGACCTCAGACACGTAGTAGAGTAGCACCGAAATTGTACAATGTTGGTGCACCACCGGATAGAACAGCCCTTGACATTGCGGAGTCGTTACAGAAAGGCGCAAGAGGGACTCCTAAGATCGTCCATGTGAATCGCTTGGCGCGTTATTATGGGGCCGATAATGCTCGGGACGAGCATGTCTTAGGAGGGGGCAGTGTTACGCACTCAAGTCAACACTAGCGCCATCTAGTGTCAGGAACGAGAGCGAGGGGAGCATTGAGAAAATGACATCACAAATCACTTAACCGACAGCGCCTAGTCGAAACTCGAACGCTCGGTACCTTGCGCGTGTTTACTTGAACATTCTGGATACTTCTTTGCTAATTTAAATATATAGGCGCTGCAAGATGCGATCGTAGTAGAGTTGAACTCAGCGACACAAGCGAAGCTTCGGAGCGGAATTAAGTGAATTAGTGTGTTTAATTATTAGTGTTTTTAGTTTTAATTTGCGTAAAGTAAATTAAAGTGTTAATTTAGGTAATTTTATCGGCAATTTTTATTGTCACGAACCTCAAGCTCGTAACAATACTATGAAACATCCATTTAAAATAAAATTAAAATCATTTTTATTCAACGTTGATTACGTGTAATTTTTATTGAAAGTCATTTTTACCTTTACCACTGGTCGGAAAAACCTCTATCCTGGAGAATCAGCAAGAGACCCAGCGGGACTTTTTTTATTAAATTTATTTACAACATGTTATTTTTTCAATTGGTATAACCAGCAATAGCGATGTACAAATCTGTGAATATTTTTTATTATTATTAATATGCACACGAGTATTTACAGAATTGTACACATTTTGTCTTCCTAATCGGAATTTTATCTCACCACGCACGTAATAATAAAGAACTGCTCTTGCCAACACACCCGCTCTGTTCGGCAAGTATGGCACATGTGGATCTATGGGGTAAGCCCATGTTCAGCTGTGGGCTGTTAATAAGCTGTAATGAATAAATAAATTTAGCCTTTTTTGTAATTGCTTCTAACGATACCTGCAAGACGAAATGTAGTGACAAATTCTTTCAATATGCAACCATGCATATTATACCAAAAATGACATCATTCGATACTAACTATTTTCATTTTATTATTTATGGAATGTCTATTTCATCTATTTATGGGGTGTCTATGAGAGCTAGAACTTTCTAATTGCCGATAAAAAGCTTTAGAACTTTAAATATTAAAATACTATGTTCTAAAATCAATCATTGACGTGCTTTTAACAGATTTCCTTCCAAATTCGGAATTGATAAATTTCTCTAAGCGGCGAAAAGTGGCGGAGATAACGGGCGAGATTCAACAGTACCAAAATCAACCTTACTGCCTTACAGTAGAACCTAGAACGAGGGTAAGCATTGCACATAACATGTAAACTAATCTTGAGTAAATAAAATAGATTGAATAAAATAGCAGCATTCTATCTTAGTCTTCAGAGGTGACAGCGCATTTGCATTTTGAATCTTAATTGAGGATAAATGTAGATATCTATGGGCAACAGCGTTCACTTACCATCAGGTGGACTGTGTGCTCGTTCGTCATCCTATGCTACAAAAAAAGTAAAAAAATGTCAATATGTCATCTTAAAATGCAACTTTGTTCATTTTTGTAACTTAAGAATCTATTAAGAAATAAATATAATCAATATTAAGCAATATAAAACACAATCTTGCAGGCGTTTTTAGAATCGCTAGAGCCCTTTCCGGGAATGGACGACAATGAAGTTACAAACTACCTTTATGCTAAGAGTCTGGAGATTGAACCACGGCCGCCAGTGAAACAAATGCCTAAATTTGTAAGTATTTGTTAAATCATTAAATAGTAATATGAATAAGAAAATTTAAAACGACGTGTTAGGGTCACATTGCAACTGTATTATGGTTGCGGCATGAATGGGTCGGCTCGGGTGTTAAAAAAGCACGCTCTCACAGAACACCAGCGTGTACCAGCAGCTTAATATAGTGCTTTGTATGGTAAGAGTAGGAAACTCTTGTTATTAATAACGCGGGAGTCTTTCGCCTTCAGATAAAACCCGCCTAACAATCGTGACAGTTAGGGCGAAATTTTCTTGAATCTGTGGGGGAGTTTAGCAGTGGACTTTTACTGGATTTAATGCATAGATTTGATTTTCAGAGTGGTGGTGCTTTAAGAGAATCTATCGCTCCATAACTTTGTTTCTTTCCGTGGGTGTCATAAGAGACTACTACTGAAAAAGTCATGTAGATATTGCTTCTGCAATTCCGGATATATACATATCGTTTACCACAGACTAGATGTAAAATACGCAGACCGGCGGCCGACAGCAGCTTCAAGGGTGGTTTCATATTAATTACACCAACAAGTCTCTTTATGAATAAGCTTCTGCAGCTTATATACTTCAAACAAGAAAGTTTAAGATTTTTACCTATGGGTGGGTTTTTTCTGCCTAGGTGTTTCGCTGGGGTAACTAACATCTACTTATTTCCAGTTTCCTAATGCTGTACGCCAACCACCATCGCTGCTGAATCAATTTGGTGCACCTGAAGCTTTTTTGTTTGAAATTGGATTGGACTATTTGCTCGATATCAGTTTTCTTTTATAAAACTCAGTTCTGTAATGTTGTATTCACTGTATATTATATTTTAAAACTATATTTGTTTTTCATTATCTGCGACATCTAATGTTTTGATAGGTCATAGAACTTAGCACAAAAAAGCAAATTTGTATGTATAAAGCAAAGTATGAGAGATATGTTGTGTTGCAGCCGCGCAAGTACCCTGAACTGTCTCTGAAGCCAGTGAAAGTGTCGCGGCGCTCGCACGATGCTCATCACTCTGCTTCAAGCGCATCCAGTACCGATGATAATCTTAGTAAGTTTACAAAGCTTCTACTGTTTTTATTTTTACCCCTCCTATTGCCCTTTGACCTTTATGAGTTCGAATCTCAGTTGTAGGCATTATTTAGTAAAAGATTGGTTGTTATTTAAAAAAAAACTGATAAAGTAAATTCCTCATCCCGTATGGGTAAGGCTGAAATAAGTCTATTTTAGCGTGTACGATTTTTATGTTATTGATAGTCAGTATGCAGTTGATAGCTCCAAAAATATTTATTTTGTTCTTGTCCTTTAAAAAGCATCATCTTATTACCTGTGACAATGATCGTGGCATACACGTAATTTAAAATAGAATGCGGCTCGAAGGACCAAAAATGTATGGTAACTCAAGATGTGTAACACTACCTTGTAGTTTTGGGTTAAATAAAAAATAAAAATGCAGGGCGCTACTTTTTTTATGAAAATTGTATAATATTGTAACCATTAAAGTAGTGATCAATTTTTGAGACTTAATTTTTTTTTAAATTTTTGGTTTAGATTTACAATTGGACCGGGTAGGTGGCGCTGTTATCGAGATTCAGAAATCACCCGTGCGAAGCCGGGTAGATCGCTTGTCTTCAATATAATTATTACAGACCTTCACAAGTCCACTGTTAAACATAGACCTCCCCAAAGAACATGCTAAAAAACATGGTCTTAAGCTACTTTCACCCATCAACTTTCTGTATGTCGACCTGGTGGGTGTACATAAGTACGTCAACAATTTAAATAATATAGACAAGGCATGGTTTAGCATAGTACCCATAGCCTTGTCTTGTTTATTCTAAAACTCTAAATACCGACAATCACTCTGGCATCGCCGAGGGAAATGTGTAAAAAAATCAAACGCTTTCTAATAGTTCAATTAGGTAGGACACAGTTACAAAATATTATTACTAATTTATTAAAATTTTTAGTAATAAAATTATTTATGATTTTATATCTACCCAATTTTAGTTTATTTTCGTTATATACTCATCCCGCTAAATATCGCGATCCTCCTGTCCGTAAGCTATTAAATTGCAACGTCGTAATGTACGCAGGCGTGTCGCAGCTGTCGCCGACGGGTGGCGGCGCGTGGGACGGAACGTCCGTGGCGTCGCTGCAGCTGCACCATGACGACAAAGGTACGCACTAAGGCGAATGCTACACGCGTGATATTTATCACGATCTGGGATGCGATCCGGAATGACGTATCGCGATCCATATCGACACACCCTACACGTTCATACGGATCACGTCAGTATTGGGCACAAAAGTGTTAAGTGCAGACGTATCTAAAATGGACCGAAATTAAGAAAAAGCTTGTGTGGCTATCATTATGGCAATAATATTTAAAAGGAGATTGAAAAGGAGAATCTGGGCTAAACCGTGCTACCGGCTTAAAGGAAAATATACCCATGTAAATTTATTATATGAGGTTAGACTTACTGTAGAAATGGATGACTACAAAAATTATTTTCGCATGAGTGATAAATGTTTTGACTATTTAATGGAACTATTAACTTCCTTTTTAATTAAACATGACACTGAAATGAGACAAGCTATTACTTACTCCAAGAGAAAAAAAAAAAGAAATAACGCTTCAATAGAATTACTATTCAAGCGTTGTTTCTTATTTTTTTTATAAAATGGTAGTAATTTCTGAAGTGCCTTCATGCGCTTACAATTATTTTTAAAACCATCACACGATGTGTTTCATAATATGGTCGTTGTTTCCAAACATAATATAAATCCTGTAAATATTTTTGATGGGTTATAGACGGTCCCGTCGAAACAGGATTCTGGCATTCGTTTGCGATTCATTGGCATCGCTACAAAAGTCGTCCTCCCCCATCGCTTCTCCAGAGCAGACTAACGCGATCCGTATCGCAGCAACACTACACGTGCAATATATATCACGATCCTTGGATCGCGATTTGGATTTTCTTAAATCTAGAAATTCTGTGATCCGTATTGCGATCCATCAATACTTGATACTACACGTTCAATAAATCGGATCGGATCGGACCGGATCGCGATCCAAGGATTCGCCTGACGAACTCCTTTTTTAATTATCTCATGTCTGTTCGGCGAGTGTTTATCAGTATTATAAAAACGTCGTAAGTGTCTTAACAAGCAACCAAAAGGAATGCAGGAAATATCTCATGATCTCCGATAAATGGTGGTATCCATTTCAATAATGTCCTTGATAAAAAATTCCTGCGACGGGGAGTAGAGTCGAAGGTGCGAAAGTTTAAAGTCCGTTCGGCAAGAGTTGATTGTTATTATGGAATCGTCTCGTAATAGCGACAGTTGCTAAAGCGCGGGCCGATGCGGCGGCCATATTGTTATTTCGTTCTGAAATAATTAGCGGGCCGCAATTTATTATATTTAGGAACCCTTTTTTTTTCAACTTTCGCCGTACTTAAAAGAAAAATTCTCAAAATCTAAAACAAAAAATTCTTTGTACCTTGTGTACATGATGTAAATCAAACATTTTTTTTTCAAACAATATTACATATACAATATATAACGTAATTAACGCACACCCTCAGACACCCCAATTAGTATATTATGTTATAATCATAATACATACACTGAATTTTTAGTTAAACATTTTTTAGTATAACTAATTTGATTATTTATCAAATTAGTTATACTAATTCCGGAAGAATGTTGTGGTCACTGTATAAATCCACGAACGCAAATATTTTAACTTGCTTGAAATAAAGTTCATTTTTCTTTATTTTTATTGAATGACAGAATTAGTAATAATAAAAATAAAACTGCACTCTTAAAAGTCTTATTGCCTTAAGTTAAGGTCCATTTCAGTTTGGTTGGACTGTACAGATTTAGTGTGACTGTAATTTACGTAGTTTTAATTATTTTTGTGATAAAAAATTACCTATATTAAAAATGATAGGAATCGGTTCAGTAAACGATTTTGAACAAACTACTTTCTCAAAGTGCGTTAATTATGTTACATGTTGTATACTTAGAGCATACATTACATGTAATGTATGCTCTAAGGTTGTATATGAAAATTTAGCTAAACACATAACTCATTTAAAACTTATAGAATGTTGTTTAGTGACAAACAAACTACAGTCCACTTCATGATAAGTGGCTAATGCAGCCGATAGATATCAGCAACCAACTTCAAAAATATTCCTTACCATCTCTGAGGTTTAAGATGGAATGCCTCACATCGCCATGCCCTGTAATTATATAGTATATTTTGCTTCTTTATGCCCTTGAGACCGGAATACTGCGCTCGCTCTGTTGCGTGACGATTATATTGTAGGTAAAAGAGTGGTCCCTAGTTCTTACCAGGGTGAGTCCTACCCTGAAAAGGAATCTACCGCCAATTTTAAGGTAATCTGTTAATTATTCAGGATCTCGTAGTGAAGAAAGAGGCTCCTTGACTAGTCCGCGCCTGGAAAGATGTTCAAGCAGCTCCTTAGGACAACTTGGACAATTGAGTCTCTTCGACAAAGGCCTTGCGCTGTTCGATAAGAGCAAATCCACCGTTGTGCTAAATGCAAGGCAAGTACTATAACTTAATAATATTTATTTCAATTGTAATTATTCTTTGGATAATTTGTTTTACCAGTGTTTCTTTTAATTCATAATTATTATTCCTATGACGCAGTATTATTTGTTGATAGATACCAAAAAAGCTTATAATATTTATACAAAAATGTAATATTAAGTACAAACTTCTTGCTGTACTTTTAAAGAATGGCCTCTTCCTTTGTAGAGCAGATTTGCCATAATCGCCACGCTCGGCAAGTGGATTTAAGTTCGTCGTAAAAAAATATTTTTCAGAGGCCATGAAATATTTCTGGTGCTTTCCGTAGTCCCCTCCTATGACATTCACTGGATGAAATGGCGTGATGAATTCTCTCACGCCAATAAAACGACTGAAATTACAAGCACAAAGTGGAAATTTGCTTTCCTTGAAAGTAAATTCAATGTTTTTTATCGAAGTTAGAATGAAAAACACACAATCCATTTGATGCTAAGTGGATGATGTAGATTATAGACAACTGCATTTTTCCACCAATAAAGGTTCATAATGCTGAGTAGTGTTGGTGACCAAAAATGCAATACCTTTTAATCAGTAAATAGGTCTCCTTGATAGCCTGCAAAAGGATTTTAAATTTTTGTTGCTAAAGATTGTTATTTGGAAATCAATAATGGTTATAAAAGAATTCAACTATTTTTGAGTAAAAGTTAACTTTTAAAAGGGTACTTCGAAAACCAAAAAGAATAAAATAGTTCGGTGCTTTAATTCTTCTACTCTTTACTATGTACGTAATAGGACACACAGAATGTGACATTATTTTATAGTTTTCAGATCTATGAAAGTTTTTTTGAACCATTTGAGTGGGCAATGGAATATCAAAATCTCAATGTCAACAGTTTCATTTAAAACTTCATCCGCTATTTTGACACCACAGGCGGAATCTTTTTCTGTAACCTTATTTTTAGTCACGTGAAGTTTAACATAATAATTAATTAAAGAATTATCAAAATCCTTTCACAATTGACAAAGACATCGCGTACCATATTTTTTTAAAAGTCGGGTTAAAAGGTAGTCCGAAAAAAAAAGTTTTTTTTTTTAACTCTTTAGTAATGTATATAAAAAGTCTGAGTAAAAGTTTCTTTGTATTTCAAATTCAAGACTTTTTTTCTAAGTTTAATTTAATTGTAATATATACTAAGGTGGTTAGTAAATTTTTCGACCTCAACGTGAAGATGGAAACACTCATCCATAAAAGCTAGTGATTTTAGCTGTGCATCTTTTGACAGTTACGCACCAAAATTTCAGTCATTTTCGACGCGTAGTTGTTATTAGACAGTCGTTTGAGTGAGTCGATATCAGTGTTTTTGTGAAATAGGAAAAAAATTACTATCGAGCTGTCATTAAATGTTTATTTTTGAAAGGCAATACGACTACGCAAATCAAAGATTAGTTGGATTCTGTGTATGGAGACTCTGCACCATCATTTGCCACAGTGAAATTTTGGGCAGCTGAATTCAAACGGGGCCATGACAGCTTTGGAGACGATGAACGTTAGAGACGTCCAAAAACTGAAACCTGACGATAACATCGCTCGATAAAGTTCACCAAATTATGCTACACAACCGCCGAATTAGAGAGAGAGAGAGAGATAGCTGAGGCTATGAAAATTTCCAACGCTTTATTGGCGCAGCTTAAGCTTTGGTATCTTGATCGTAACGCACAACGCTGCAGTATGCGGCTCAAACGCAGCCACAGCAAGGAACAATAGTTTTGAAATTTGTGTTTTGTTTGAGGAGGAGGAAGAATGAAGTTTATCTTTATTTTTATATAAAGAGGGATGATTGCGTAATATTTATTTATCTTCAAACAAATCCATTGTCAACTCGTAACGCACACCGCAGCTTCACAACGAGAACGACACCGCGCAGTGCGGAGTACCCGCTCCCCACTTCACCGCGCATGCCCTTCGCCGCTGACGCGTACTGCGACAGAACAAGAGACCGTTCTACACGTTTTTCATACGATTATGTGTCCGACACCGCAGCGTCGTGCATTACGATCAAGAGACCAAAGCTTTAGGCGGCGCAGTTTGGGCGCAATAAATCCGAGTTTTGGCGCTGATTAATTACTGTAGATGAAACTTGGGATACACCCGAAACAAAAATACAGTCAAAAGGACTGCAAAGGGGGAACCTGATCTAAAAAAAAAGCAAAAACTGTTTTTTTCAGCTGGAAAAGTGATGACGACTGTTTTTTGGGACAGTCATTTAGTTATCTTAATCGATTATCTTCAAAAAGGAAAACTATTGCAGGAGCATACCACGCATCACTATTTGACAAACTGAAGGTAGAAATTGCAGAAAAACGGCCACATTTGCAGAAAAAGAAAATCCTGTTTCACCATGACAACCCGCCGCCACACATTTCAGCGTTTGTCATGCCGAAATCCACCAATTACAGTTTAAACTGCTTGACCACCGCCTTACTCATCAGATCTAGCCAAAGCTGCTACTTTTTGTTACCTCATCTAAAAATTGCGCTCATAGGACAGAGATTTTCGCACTTCTATTTGTGCAAGAACAATTATATGGTTAAAAATGGAGAAAAGTAAGATTAGTATCATTATCATCATCTACCCTTCACAAGTAAACCTGAACATAGGCCTCCGTAATGCCAAAGCACGTCCTGAGCCACATGCATCCATCGACTTCCTGCATGTCTTACCAGGTCGTCACTCCATCTAGTGGGGGGTCGCCCTACACTACGCCTACCGGTACGAGGCTGCCACTCGAGAACCTTTCTTCCCCATCGGTTATCGGTTCTTCGAGCTATATGGCCGGCCCATTGCCACTTCAGCTTACTAATCCGTTGGGCTATGTCATAGAAGACTATGTAGAAAAATTAAAATAAATTTTAATTTTCACTTTTCAGACCACCCACGTATGTGCCATTTTGTTCGATAACTTGTTGCATCTTGTAGGTAGTGACAATCCCGTTGCTGTAGAAATCTTGGGATTTTTAATCAAAAAATGCGGCAGATGTGTTTTGACAGTTCTCTCTTGATGTTAACCAAAGAATTCTGAAGAAACCGAAACAGGTGAAAATCTGAGGGTGAAAGGTCATGTGAAGGTGGTTGTCAACGATTTCAACCGATCAGATAACAACGGTTGTTTTTGTTTTTAACGGTTGACAACCGCTGTGGTGATAGCTTGAAATGGATTAAAACTTTTTTTGTGCAAAAAGTTTTTTCTCTTTGGTAATGAATAAACCACAGAAAGCCCTATAATATATAACAGTCCATTTTTTTGAGTAGTGAAAAAGGCTTTTCCAAAAAGCCTACAGTACAACTTTGTCATTTATCAAAACTATGAAAAACAATTGTTGCAGTTTTATTGTAAAATTATTTTTTCTTTAAGGAGTTTTTTATTTTAGACTTATTACCTATATGTATAACAATAACCTGAGTAGAAATTAATAGATTCTTAAATTGTAAAAATAATAATTGGAGTTGATCATCTTAGGTAGGTATTTACTTTTATTTATTTAAAAAATATTAATCAGAAAAATAATTATAATAATAATATAATTTAATCACACAACTAACGCTCTCATTAGTAATGTAATGGTGAAACAACTTTCAAAATCGGTCAAGTGTTTTTCGAGATTAGCCAAAAAAACATATTCATAGAAAGTAGCGCCCTCTAAAATAAAAGGCATACTTCATTAGACGTCTATAATTATTGTACATAACATTCTGGTGGTTCAAGGATTTTCAAAGTTGGTCAAGTACTTTTCGAGTTTAGCTAAAAAAACATATTCGTTGATAGTACTATCAAGGTCATATGTTTTTTTAGCTAAACTGTGCTATTTAGCACCCTCTATAATAAAATGGATCGTTCAGTCCTAATAGCATTAGTGCAAGAATTTTTTAAATCAAGTAAGTAATAAAAAAGTCAAGTAGATTTTAATCAAATTGTTAAAAGCGATTCAGCTTAGCCAACCGCACACACAGTAAAACATAACCATCCTTTTTCGTCTGTAGTCGGATAAACTACCGGTTGAGAACGGTTACTTATCGGCTGCTTTGGACAAATATCCGTTGTCAACCGATGCTTTACATCTATAGTCAAGACTATATGGTGGATGCATTATCACTCCCTCTCAATTTCTGCTGAGTGGCAAAAGATGTGTGTGGTCTGGCGTTATCATGATTAAAGACCATTCCTTTTCTGCTGATCAATTCCGGCCATCCTTTCTCAATTTCTTGCTTAACTCTCATTAGTTTTTGGCAGTACAAATCCGAATCGATTGTTTTGCCCAGTGGTAAAAACTCATAATAAACGATGCCCTTCAATTCCCACCATACACATAGCATCACCTTGTTGCGTGTTAATCCGGATTCCGCTACAGTCTGTAGAGCTTGACTACCCTTTGACCGTGATCTTTTTCGCACGTTCTTGACGTGGGTAGTCCATTTTTCATCATCAATATTTTTGATCAATGTTTTCAAAAATGGTTCGGTTTCATTACGTTTCAATAGAGCATCGCAAATGAGTACACGATTCATTAGGTTTCTCTCTATGAGCTAGTGTAGTATCCAAATATCGAGCTTTTTTTGTATAGCGAGACTTTCAAATGGGTCTGAAATGTTTTGTAGTCAATCCCCAATTCCTTGGCTATGTACTAACTACTAATATGCGGATCTTGCTCCACTTTTCCAAAAATGGCATCGACTTTATCCATATGAGGGCAACCAGAGCTTTGACATCAAAATTCCCGGATTGAAAACTCTTGAATCAACTTCGTGCTTCTCTTATTGACGCTGCATTCGGTCCATAAACGTCAAAATGTTTTTGCGGCAAGTGTTCCATTTTCCGTTTTTTGTAATAAAAAAATTCAGAATGTATCGAATTTCTTTATTAGATTCACTCATTTTGGCGGACAGAAAAACAATTTAAAATGGCGGGAATGTGTTTTTGACTTTTTTTCCTTTTTTTTAACGTCCTTTACAAACAGCCAGATAAAAAAAACAAGAGTACAAGAAGATTTCTCATCAATTTTATACAAACAAAATAAAGAAACTTTTTCCCCGACCTATTATAATAACGTGTTAAATTTTTACAGGAGTAGTGGACGCGATGAACCACCTTCACCACGCGACAATCATTCACCAAGGCATGACCGGTAAGTAAATAACTATTTGAGAACTTAATCCACTAACTCTACATCTTGCCTCGATCAAAATGCAGATGCTTTTTCACCCCCAAGGACTAAGATAAAATACTTCTTTACCATTACGAATGCTGGTGATCACACTACTAAACACTATCGGCACTAAGCTGGTATTCTATGCGATCGTGATCTTTTACCGTTCGAGTCAATACTTCGCTGTTCCTACTACAGCTTTAATACGCTGCATCGTGGCTTTTCCACGTAAATCCACATCCTCCTTACAACACAGCTTTATTTCATCATCATCTTTCATCATTATACCTCTTCACATGCCCAATACTGAAGATAACTCCGTTGATGATGACACAAAGGCTGATCTTTATTCACCTATATCCATCTACTTTCTGCATCTCCGATCTGGTCGTCACTCCATCTAGCCGCTTGCTTGCCTTTTTATCCTCTTTGTCGATTCGTCGAACTATATGGCGAGCCCGTTGTCACTTTAGCTAATTGATCCGTTGGGCTAACAGTTGTTCTGGTTTTGCTGCGTGTGATTATCATTATGTATTCTATCACGCAGAGCAATAACGAGCATAGTCCTTCCACAGCTTGCTGAGTAAATTTACGCTTCAAGAAAACTACGGCAAATATCATCCCCCCTATGATTAATAATAAACAGCAACAATGTTTTTGTAGGAGTAACTCGTCAACGCTGACTCGTCGTACACCTGCGCTGTCCCCGCGCAGTGCCATAGTAGACGCCGAGGTGTTCTACTCCAGGAGTGCGGAACATCTCGGCTGCCGGCGACAGGAACAGGTTTGTAATTTTTAAAATAATAAGCTATTTGGTATAAAATGGTTTTATGGGTAAAGGTAAACTAGAATCTTAAAATATGATACTTAGATGTCCTAGACGTAAAAAAGTAAAGTAAATAAATAAAGTATATACGTCCCACTGCTGGGCACAGGCCTCCCCTCATTTCTAGGAAGGTTTTAGGGCAAGGAAGTGTCCGCCGCGCTTCCTAAATGTGTGTTGGCGAACTTCACATGTCTTCAAATTTTTTTTTCTTATTCTTCAGACATGCAGGTTTCCTCACGATGTTTTCATTCACCGCCGAGCATTTGGTAAATCAGCACTTAAAATTGCAATTAACAATTTCATTGGTGCCGGCGGGGATCGAACCCGGGTTACTCGCGATCTATTATATTTACAGCGAGCGTTGACCATCTGAGCTACCACGGCGAGACGTGATTATTCAAAAATAGACATTTCATTTTCGACTGTATTACTCAAAAATCGTTGCTTTAATTATTATTTTATTAATACTTTTACCAGTTGTGAAATTGAAATGCCTAAGTTATTTTACCTAAATTGCACATATTAAACCATTATTTTGAGATACTTCCATACTACCATAATAATTGCTCTGTATAAAACAATAAACTTTAATATCTTTTAGAATGCAGAGAATTCAGGTTTTAAATGTTGATTACACATGGACCCACGCAGACTGTACATCTTTTATTAACAAATATAGAGAAAATTTTATTTGTGCCAGGAGCGTGTGCCGCCACTGCTACCACGCGGCGGTGGCAGCGCGGCGGGCGCAGAGCCCGACAAGCCGCCGCTGTTGCCGCGCCGCGCCGCATCGCCGCCCGCGCACAGCGGTACGTACCCTCCGCATGCACGGTGTGGCAACGCCGCATGGGCATTATGTTACGTTATGTCGCCTCTACACGTTGGCCAACACAGTGGCGAATGTAGTGGCCAATAGCATTGGCCAACGTGTAGACGGGGTGTTTGGGCTTCATTGGTATGTATTGGAACGATGGCCCGCAAGTTGGCGCGAGATCCGTGTGGTGTCGGTTTTTTACAAAAGATCAAAGGATTGTTGGCGGAGTTTGGTCGCCGCGTCCACACGTTGGCCGCGCGTTTAGTTTGCTACAAGCTCCCAGAGTGATTACACGCATCTGATTAAAATTTTATATTCAAGCTTTGTAGGGTGGATGCCCCAATTACCAGCCTTTTAGTGCCAATTTCAACTTTAAACATTTCTACTACTTTAATTAGCGCGATTTAATTATTATTGAACATTTGTTTTCATCAATAAGCTATTTATCAAAAAATAATTAACGTTTTTTTACAATCACATTATTACGAGAACAATTTTAAAATGAAAAAGAAAATGAAGCATGTCGTTTATACGTGGTAGAACCATGCAATTATATTAGAAGTATAGTTGCAGCACGAAGGTCGGCTCGACCGGGGAAGGACCACGCTCTCACAGAATATCAGCGTAAAATAGTAGCTTAATGATGCTGTGTTTCGTATAGTGAGTGTAGAGAACCAGAGACCCTTTTTAAAGGAAACGAGGCATTTCATCTTAGCCCTCACGGGTGACAACGCATCTGCATTTTGATTCGTAATCGAGGATAGATGTATCTTTCTTTGATGTCTTGGGGCCACAGTAACCACCTACCATCAGGTGCACTGTGTGCTCGTTTGTCACACTATACTATAAAAAAAAACGTCGATTTCTTATAATTTAATCGTGCAAGATTTCGAATCATCATCATCATTACAGCTGTTCACAAGTCCACTACTGAACATCCTCCTCCACAGACTGCCGCAAAGCATGTTCCTGAGCCACTTTGCTCGTCATGAGTTTTTCATTTATGTTCTAAGTTATAATTAGTACCTATTATTAAGGCAGTGTTAGTTATATTTATTGCTATTGTTTTTGTCTTTCTCAAAAAATAATTAAATTACCAAATAAATTATAAGGTGTTTTTTATATACATCAAATATCTGATTAGAAATGCAAGTACATATTTTGCTAAACTTTAAAATCAAAACCCAATTTTAAAACATAGACTAATCGATTATAACTCCTTTAACTTTAAAATAAGTTAAGTTCTTATTAATGGTATTTATTCCAGTTTATGATGCATGTAAAGAATAAATAAAGCTAATTGTATATCGTATATCTATTTACAGCCCCATTAATAATCACTATTATTTTATAATTCTTTTATAAAAACATTAACCCCACACTAGGATTTTCTCCCGTATCGCGCAGGCAGTTTACAAACATAAATTGCACAAGGACACACATCCAGACCCGAAACAATTATTTGTAGGACATACAAATACTTGTTCCGTGCGGGATCAAACCCACGGCGCCCGGCGAAGCCACTCATTGCTGAGCCACTGCGCCACGGTGCTTATAAATTCGTCCGCATATTGGCCCGAACCGAAGTAAACTGAACGACCTTCCAACGTGTGGACGCCGTCACCAACTCTCGGCCAATATATTCGCCACTCCATTCGCCACTGTGTTGGCCAACGTGTAGAGGCGACATTACACTTATAACACACTACTGTACGTACCCCGCGCATGGTGTGGCAGCGCCGCGCCGCCTCACTACCCGCGCACTACAATACGTACTCCGTGCACGGTGTGGCAACGCGCCAGCCAAAGACAGAGAAGTTGAACAATAGACAGTAACTTACATTAACCGATTTACACTTCAATAAGTACAGTAGCGAGTTAATTTGCGAACCTGGCGAGTTAAGTAGAAAATCTCATTTGAACGGTAAGTAATGAGTTAAGTAGCAAGTTAACAATAAAGTTGAACGGGATAGCTAGTCGAGCTATTTTTTGGCGAGCTAAGTGCGAAGTGCTGCCCACTCGCGCGTCTTCCGCCACCCGCAACTAAACTCGCCGCTCGTTCACACGCGCGAGTTTAGTACAGCGCATAAGTTGACAGGATCTATATAGTGTATTATCTATGGACAGGACGCAACGCTTGCGGGCCAAAACGTATATTTGTACTTGTATAAATAAACTCGCCACAAAGTTTTAAGTCAGTGACTTAGCGGTCAGTCGCCGTAGTCATTACCTGAGGATGCCTCGTGTAGAGGCTAAACACGTCGTATTGTCGTCGATGCTGTGTCTTACCTGGAATAGTGGTGTTGGAAGTAGTGGTGCCGGGAGTAGTGGTGCTGGGACTAGTGGTGACGGAGTTAGTGCATGCAGTTTAGGGAGGGCGGGAGGTGCTCTTCAATCCAGGTAAGACACATCATTGTATTTAGTTAGCGGAAGGTTGCGAAGTAATAAATTATTTATTAAGATATGGTTTCTTTTTTGTACTCTTTTCGTTTTACCCTTATTGAATATATAAAATATTAGGAACCAATAAATTTAACTTACACTAAGTTCTTAGACAAAAAATAAACAGAAATAAAAATAAAACCGTCAAAAAACGAAATGTATAGATAAACTAAATGGGTTACAAAATCCCGGCTTTTTTTTTAAAATAGTATATTTTTATTTTCCATGTACAATATTTTTGAGGGTCACGTAACTAAACTAACTGTAAAATAAAACTTTAAAAATGCGTTTATATAATAATATAACTGTAACAAAATTTATATAAGGTTGTTTACCGATAATACGATATCCCAGGTTTTTTTTAAATATTTTTATCGCAATTTTTGCATTCTTTTACCACGCAACTAGACATATTTATGACAGGCAAATCTGTCCTGCGCGCGCACCACTGTCGACCGATTCGCGTTGGCCCTAAACTGTAATTTTAGGGCCAGCGCACTGATCCGTTTTAGTTGTTCGGTCGGCTCGGTCCTTACGCTAGTAATACTTATATAAGTCAATGAGTAGAACTTTAAATTATAAAACTAAACATGTTCGAGATGCTGCATTTATGAAAATTTGCGAAGTTATGAATATTCCTGATTTTAGAGTTAAAGAGGCACCAGCAAAAATAAAAAGCATTAGATCAACATATACAGTCAGGAGACAAAAAAAAATTAATGATTCCATCAAAAGTCGAGCGGGAAAAGATTCTTTATATGTACCATCTTTAAAATGGTACAAACTATACCATGACCGTATTAAAGAAAACGAATTTACACAAAGTATTACGCAAGACAATTTGTTAAGTATAACTATATAGGTACAAAAACAATGTAAGTTGGTACGTTTAATTGTATCATCCTCAATTGCCAGCTTACTGATCCACTTGAACGTGAACAAACACACACTACGCGAACAAAATAATTGGCGTAATTATCACGTACCATCCGAGCATTTTGAGAGGAGTGATAAGAATCACTTCTCGCGATCGGTGCAAGACCATTGAATTGTAAGTCCCTCCGAAAACCCGGTAATATTATGCCTCTGCTAATATCTTCAACATCTACTATCACAGAATCGTCACTGTTGTTTGTTTTTCTGTTCCAGTTATGCAAGGCACAACAAGCCTTTACAATTTTCACTACCCTGGCTGGACTAAATGGCAGAGGTGTTTCGAATATTCGAAATCGACTAACTAGAATACCAAACGTATTTTCAATAGTACGGGCTCGTGACAGTCGATAATTAAATACTTTCTGGACAGTACTTAAATTACTATCACCATATGGTTTTCGCAGATAAGGTTTCAATGGGAAAGCGTTATCTCCAACGATGCAATAGTTTGTTGGCAACAACTCTTCAAGAATATTACTAATTCTGCAGTTTCGAAATACACCACAATCTGATATTTGTCCATTACATCCGATATCAATGTATGTGAAACAGTAGTCGTCGTCTGCTAAAGACAGAAGTACTATGCTGTTTTGATGTTTATAATTATAATAGTAAATTCCAGGTTCGAAAAGGGCTTTTATCACGACGTGCTTGCCGTCGATTGCTCCACAGCACCCAGGAAAATTCCATCTGTATTTGAAACCATGTTTAATTTTTTCCATTCATCATGACTTAGAACCTGTAAAAAATAATATATTAATTTAGTAAACCTTTTTTTTTTTAGGTAATACCTGAATTAGAAGACACAGCAACGGTTACACCTACTGTATATGATTCAAGTTCCTCTAATATTTCTATACAACCATCATCAGCGCCCGTGCGCTTCCGTAAAAGGAATATACGTTGCTTAGAAAATATAATGGATAAAGTGAAATCCGTCACTGACAGAATCAATCAGCCTACAGGTTCAACATCAGAGGAAACTGAATTCGATATTTATGCAAAAAGTATAGCAGCACAATTAAATTCGTTGCCAACAGTATGGGTTTTACAAGCACAGTGCCATATCAATAAATATCTTATTAATTTACGAATTAAGCATTTGACAAATTCTTTAAATATAAACAACCATACTCCCTTTTCTACTACAACCTACGTATCGTCGCCATCGCCGACTGAATCTCACTGTCAGCGAATTACTGACTCTCCAATCCGTACTACACCACCCTATATGTCGTCGCCTTCACCACGAACCATACCCGATCTTCACACGTAAAAAGTTAATATTAAGTACTTCGAAACGCCTACAATGCAACCCACAGATTCTTCCAATGTTGTTTATGTTTTAAAAAATGAACCATCATCGTCTGAATATTCAGATATTTCGATGATAGCTGTGTCGTCCATTAAATAAGAATATGCTTAAATAATGATGATTAGTGCTGTGATTATTAAACTGAAAAGAATTCTTAATAAATATTTCATATAACTAATAAAGAGTTGTCTATTTTTTTACCTTTATGTGCTCCTTCAACGTTTCATAAATTGCATTACAGACTTATGGAATCATGTTAGATATGCTAGCTTTGGATACTCTAAATAAGTGATTCAGGGGACGTTAACTGCATCCAGTGGCCAACATATACAATACCACTTGCAGTTTTATTTTAGATGGTAATGCACATCTCATAAAAGTATCCTTTTTTTTGAATTATAGGCCCAACTTAACTCAGTAGAAATTTAAATAAGACTTCAGACATTCTCAGACTATTTTTAATTCTAGAGTATCTTCTTCAGATAATTCTTTAAATAATTGGTAACTCGCGCCATGTTCGTTTCTTCTATTAATCCATTTTTTTACCCAGTCTTGTGGGTTTTTCACGTTTTGTAATTATTTCATTTCCAACTTCTTTAACTACAACCAATAATATTTCTCTGACTATATCATTTAATTTTTGACGTAATCCTAGATCCATCTTAAACGAAAATAAGAAAAATTCTGTAGTCTTGAAACGTTACACTCAAACGAACTCTATGAACTAATGTCCTTAACTAAACTCGCCACGCCACTCGTTCACATTGTTTAAACGCTACTGCCCACTTAACCGTTTACTGTCAACTGCCCTGTAACTAAACTCGCTACTGTACTTGTCGAAGTGTAAATCGGTCTTAAAGTATATATTAATATTAAGTAGGTTACTGCTTCTGAACGAATTCAAATTTATTATCCTATCGGATATAATACGATACATTATATCATAATATTAGGCGTATATTACGCCTGCCTTAAATGTAATTTGTGGATCAAGAAAAGGCAATGAGGACATTTTAATTCATAGAGTGCTTAGTTAGCTTTTCGCTCGTTCGCAAGGACATGAAGGTTTTTTATTCAACTTTATCTTAACTTACAGCAAACTGCGAACCGCCGCCAGAGCCGCCCGACAGACCGTTGCCAAGCCCCAAACATCATGACCTGTTCAGGTACATAGTTGTATTATTACCTTTTATGCATTATTACGCTTATTACATTATTGGACCTGTCAGAGACCTGAGGAATCATCTCTCCATTTCGTCCTTGGGCAACTATAATAAATTGTAGTAAGAACTCACGGCTTGTGATAGATTGCGTTAAAACCATCTCATAATTACTAGACGTAAATAGAGACCAGAAGTATACAAGACATATTTAATTCCAAATGTCCAAGAGTATGTTATTAAAAACTCGTGAAAAAAAACTATTGCCATTTAGTATTTTAATTAAATGTAGTCATAAAGATAAATAGGCATCGTTTTTTCAAGATTTCGTTTTTGTTACATAAGTAACACGAAAATATGTTAATAAATAAAAAGCTAATTACTTTTCATTTAATTTCTTGTAATATAATTTGTAGTGTTTAAAAAGTTAAAGGCTGGTAGGCACGGGCCTCCTCTCATTTCTGAGAGGGTTTTAATACAAGGAAATGCCCCCCGAGTTTTTTTGTTAGGTCTCAAACATGCAGGATTCTTCACGATGTTATCCTTCACCGCCGACCACATAGTAAATCAGCACTTAAAATTCATCATCATTACAGCCCTTCACAAGTCCACTGCTGAACATAGGCCTCCCCCAAGGCAGGCCACAAAACACGGTCCTGAGCAACCTGCATCCATCGACTTCCTGCATGTCTTACCAGGACGTCACTCCATCTAGTGGGGGGTCGCCCTGCACTATGCCTACTGGTAAGACGCTGCCACTCAAGAACCTTTTTCCCCAACGGTTGTCGATTCTTCGAGCTATATGGCCGGCCCATTGTCACTTCAGCTTACTAATCCGTTGGGCTATGTCGGTCACTTTGGTTCTACTGCGGATACCCTCATTTTTATGTTTATCACGCAGAGAAACCCCGAGCATATAGCCCTTTCCACAGCTCGCTAAGCGACCTTGAGCGTCACACGGCCAGAAGTGATGGACCACGTCCCAGATCTATAAGTCATCACTGGCAACACGCGCAATCTAGTTTTTAGGTTTTGAGGTATACTGACGAGATGTGTCGTAATTTCCCGAACGCTGCCCAGCCAAGTTGACTCCGTCGACTAGGGAAGTCCAACTAATTACCTAGTCGGACTATTTGTCCCAGTTGAACATACTAGTCAACAACTTCGAGCTTAGTGCTCCCAACTACTATCGGCATAGGCGTGACATGGACATTAAACATGATCTTTGTTTTGTCCATGTTCATCTTAAGACCTATCCGTTGGGAAACACTATTGAGGTCGTTGAGCATATACGAGTAGTGCTTACGTCCTCCAGCGATTCTGCCATAATAGCTATATCGTCGGCAAATCAAAGATCAGTATTGTATTTATGCCATTGATGTTAATACCGTATCCTTTCCAGTCCAGTAGCTTGGAAACTTCTTCCAATGCGGTGGGGAAGAGTATCGGGGATATAACGTCACCCTGTCTTACACCTCTCTGCAGTTGGATAGGTTTCGTACTCTGGTTCTGTACTCGGACAGCCATCGTAGACTTGCTGTACAAGCACTTCAGCACTTCGATATACCGACAGTCAACTTGGCACCGCTGAAGAGACTGTAACATTGCCCAAATTTCGACGGAATCAAAGGCTTTCTCATAGTCCACATAAGCCAGGCAAAGTGGCAGATTGTACTCTTCGGTCTTCTGTACAATCTGTCGCAGGGTAAGTATGTGGTCTATGGCACTGAAACCTTTTCGGAAACCGTATGTTCGGGAGGCTGGAAGTCGTCGAGTCGAGTCGACTCTCGAAAACAGCACATATACGCGGTTCAGAAGAGAAATCTGTCTGTAGTTTTTCAAGAGAGCGTTGTCGCCTTTCTTGAAAAACAAAACCACCGCACTGCTCCACACTCCCAGAGTAGTGCCACCATGGAGGATGGAACTGAAGGGCTTCTGAAGGACTTTAAGTACCGGTGTTCCACCCGCTTTCAAAAGCTCCGCTGTAATTCCATCCTCGCCTGGGACCTTGCCGTTTTTAAGGTGCTGGAGAGCCATTTTAATCTCGCTCAGAGTGACATCTGGGATATCATCGGAATAGTGTCGGATAAGACTTGCTGTTGGATAGTTACTCACACTTGCGTGTGGCCCCAACGATGATGTGTACAGCTCCTCATAGAACCTCTCAATCCCACTCAAAATCTCGGATGTCCTGAAAACGATGCTGCCACACCCAGTCTTCAGCTTAGAGAGATGACTGTTTCTGGCAGACAGATCTCTGGCAAAGACTTTGTATCCTGGTTCCGCTCAATCGCTGCTTCAATGGGAGTTATATTGAGTTTGTAGTCTCGCCGACAACTGCAGCTTCATCTCCCATCTAACAGCCATGTGATTAGGCGTGTGATCGTAGAGTTTTTGTGTTCTTCTGCGGTGGTTCTTGCAGAACTTAGCTTCGACCGCATGTACAGTTTCCACAAGCTTGTCATTTATATCGTCCACTGCATTGAAATCATCTAGACACTGAAAACGGTTTTGTAACTCGAGTTGAAAAGAGTCGGGTCTTTGGATAAGAGCACGAGGGGGACGGAGCGTTGACTTCATCAGACGAGACCTCTCCAACTTAAAGTTTAGGTTCAGTGTGCCTCTAACCATTCGGTGATCGCTGCCAGTTTTCACCCTTGCGATCACTGAGACATCACTGAACAGTTGCAGTCTGGTCGTCATATTGAAGTCAACCTCATTTTTTATCGAACCGTCGGCGCTCGACCAGATCCACTTTCTGTGGGGCCGCTTATGAAAGAAAGAGCTCATCATAAACAGTCCCTCTTTCTCCATGAAGTCGGCCAGCTGCTGGCCCCTTGGGTTCCGTTTCCCTATCCTAAATAACCTACCTTCACAGCTTACCGTTTGTTTTTGCGCCTAGCTTTGCGTTGAAGTCTCCCATTAACACTGTATAGTGGGTTTTGGAGGAATGCATGGCTCTAGAGATATTCTCATACATTTCCTCCACTACTTCATCGGGATGTGCCGATGTTGGTGTATAAACCTGTATTACCTTCAGCGAATATCGTTTGGTGATTCTGAGTATAAGGTACGCAACCCTAGTCGACACACTCGCAATATTTACAACGTTGTTGACGAGAGACTTGTGGACGATAAATCCAACACCTCCTTGGGACAGATGGGCGCCCTCCCGGTGATAGAACAAGTTGCCGGATTCGAGAATCACCGTGTCCTCCCTCGGATAATCCTATAATATTCCAGCGCAACTTGTCTATCTCTTCTTTCAGCTCCAGTATCTTCTCGTCAGTCCTCAGAGTGCGTGCGCTGTATGTTGTCAGGTCGAGTCGTTTTAGGTGGCAACCGAACCTCCACCGGAGATTCTTAGCACCCCCTGCCCCGCCGTTACCATGGTTGCCACCGTAGCCAGGAATAGCGGGGCCCTCGGGGACTGGGGCCGTCTATTTGCTTCGTTGTTCATGGGGGGTATAGATCAGGAAGATGTTGCAGCCTATCTTCTGCCTATTTCCCTCTGTCGCCTTTTACGACACCTACTGGAAGATATGGGGTAATGGATATTCTTAACCGCCACTACACGGCAAATTTACAATTTATAATTTAATTAAATTACAATCAATAATTTAATTGGTGCCGGCGGGGATCGAACCCCGGGTTGCTCACGTACTGTGAAATTTAAAGCGAGCGCTTAGACCTTGATACCACGGCCATGGATTTTTAGTGTTATTGTTTTGTAAATTCAATGTTAAACATACAATATTGCTATCACCATAAGCGATGTCTGTTATTATATTTACGTAACATGATATTATCTGTATGTCACCGTTAATACATTAATGTTAGTTGTTATTGAATGCCTTTTGTTTCAAACGAAATGAGTTTAAAAATACACTGTGATTTTTTAAAGTAAAAATCAAGAGATGATTCTCTTATCCAGATTTTAGACTTGTAAAGAAGATAATATAATTCACTTGTATGTAGATAATTATGTACGTATATCCGATTCTTCTGTCCAAACTTTACTCCTAAATTATAGATTGATGATCATGTTCTACCAAAAACTACAATCGCAAATAATAATAATAAGTAAGTTCAATATCACATGAAAGGTGTTCGGTATATATAACTCAAACGTTGGCGAATAAAATTGTATTAGTTATATCATTACAGTAGTGTTGTTTTTTAAATTATAATTTATTTTATCATACTGTATGGTTATACGAGTAATAGTTAAAAATTATTATACTTAAAATTTGGATGTTTTATAGAATGTCTAAGTTGCATGTTATGCTAGTAACTTTTATAAAATATACGATATCTAAACTTGCTTGTATCATATTATATCAATAAAAAGTTCTGTATTTAGCAAAAACAGGTCTAATATTTTTGGTTGTTGACCACGTAAGTTGACTTTTGTACTCGTATATCAAACTAAACCTTTATCCATTTTTTTTAAATAAATTTTACTGTTGATACCTGCCTTTTCTGCCTCAATGGTGTCCGTTTAGTGGTAATAACTAGCGTGATAAAATGGACCTACTTTTAGTGTTCACCTCTATTACCATTACAACTTCTAAAAGTCCACAGCTGAACACAGGCCTCCCCAATAGATTGCCTCATATGGGGGATTTTGCCATAGTTGCCAGGTGGATTGGCAACCGCAGTTTTTTTTTAATTCAGCTGTTATCAAGAAGATGCTGCTTCATCTCCTGTTTTACTTTCCCTCTGTTACCTCTTACGACACCTACGTGGACGATATGGGCTAGTGGGTATTCTTCATTCTTACATACTCATCTGTAGCTTTCTTTGTGTAACTTTGGTTGCAGGTGTCCATGAACTGTACTAACAACTTATGATCGGACGAAAAAAAACTTATTGCTTTTTTTTTGTTACCAACCATGTATTTTTTGTTTTTAGTTTACGTCATATAAGTGACATTAGTTTAACCGTGTAGTACTGGTGTAAGAATACCCACTAGCCCGTCCCGCAGTTGTCGTAAGAGGCAATACAGGGAAACTAAAACAGGAGATGGGCAGTAGCATCTTCCTGATAACAGCTGAATAAAATAAACTGCGATTGCCAATCCACCTGGCAAATATGGAAAAATCCCCCATATGAGGCAATCTATAGGGGAGGCCTATCCCGGAGCTAAAATTAACAACTTTCTTCAACTCAATACGTCTTTATCCGAACTGACTATAAATGACATTGTGGTAATAATTGGTGGTATAAACGATACTGACACTGTGAAGTGATAGATCTGGGAATATCAGATCATTCTGCTTAAGTCTTAAAATGTCCTGTTAACAAAATTCAGCAGTGTGCAGACTTTAATAAGTTGCAATAGTAATAGAAGTGGAATTAGTTGACAATTCTTCCCTAAACAAAGTAATAAAATTCGATTCCATTGTCAGGACGCCAGCCATGTCGCCGAAGCGTTCGCCAGCCCCCGCGCCTCCCATAAGTCCGCTGACGCAGTGCAACAACCCTGAACAGAGGTATGTATACATTCAATTGTTCATTTCTTATTGTTGTCTTGAAGGGCGGACGCTAATAGCCAGATGAAGCTGGAGTTACAGCCGTGTAGTAGCGTCGTAAGAGAATTCCTCTACCCCACATCATCCTGTGGCGACATGGGAAAACTGAAACGGAAAAAGGCAGCAGCATCACAGTTTTAAGGTCTTACAGTTGGTAAATTAATGTACATGTGCAAAGCAACGGTGGGGGTACTGCGGGGCGAGGGGGCTAACCTTGTGCCTGCGCACTTCACCGAGTCTGATAGGCAATACGTACAGTAGGCGCCAGCTTGTTTTTGTAGTACTTATTTAACTACTTTTAAGTGTCGTTTTCGAAAAATATAATATCTGTAACGATGAATTACTGTTACAGTTATATGAGTTACGTAAAATTGATTGACGGCCATGTTTCTTCATTTTTTTTTTGGATAAAATTATTTATCCGAATGCGAATACAGTACTAAATTAAATTTAACAATCACATAACTGAAAACATCTATAAAAAAAGTGTCACGAGAATATTGGGCAATGCAACACTTGTAAATGTGTTTTTTCTCGTAGCAATTATCTTATTTACAAAATAATTATAACTTACAAGTATATACATATATGTATACATAATTAACGCACATCCTCAGACACCCCAATTAGTATATTATATTATAATCAGCACTGAATATTTATCAAATTAGTTATACTAATTTCGGAAGAATGTTGTGGTCACAGTACAAATCCACCAACGCAAAGACTTTAACATACTTGAAATAAAGTTCATTTTTCTTTATTTTTATTAATGACAGAATTAGTAATAATACAAATAAAACTGAACTCTTAAAAGTCTTATTACCTTAAGTTACGGTCCATTTCAGTTTGTTTTGACTGTACAGATTTAGTCTGACTATAATTTACGTAGTTTTAATTATTTTTGGGATAAAAAATTACCTATATTAAAAATGATAGGAATCGATTCAGTAAACGATTCTGAACAACCTACTTTCTCAAAGTGCGTTAATTATGTTACATGTTGTATATAATGTTAATATATTATAGTGAGTATTATAACATCAAAAATTATTTTTTGTTATATTATGTCATCATAACCAGTCAAGAAATAATAAACACTCCTGGTATAATTCTTCACCAGTCAGTGAAAGAAACTGTTAATTATACTGACTATGATATTTTTTTGAGTATAATCTATAAAGCATTGTCAGCCCCATGTTACAAATGTATTACTACGATAAGTTATTTTGTTTATTACGACGATAACTTAGCGAATATTTTCGGAATCGAAGATATTCACAAAATTTTACGTGAAACAACTATTATAATGGCACAAGTTTTCGCCAAAGCCTTTTCTGTGTAGTGACTTCGTAAGATAACACCGTGAGTCGTTCTAATATATGATTTAATCTTATAGTTTCCAATAGATAGTGCTACGTCGAACTAGATGTGAAATGCCCAGACTGGCGTCGGCAGCAGCATTAAGGCGATATTATACGAATCAACCAAATTGAAACAATTTACTTAAAAAGCATTGAAAATTGCATATTGAACGACTTTACCAATATACACATATACCTATCATTTAAATGACATTCAATGTTCACAACGCAATGCGATGTCGTGCCAACTCTTACGTGCGAGAATTTTGTTAATGTGCCACTATTTAATAAATAAGTTAAATAAAAAAAGAAAATCTTCGTGTTGTTGGGTGCGTCCGTGGATTTCGAGAAGGATAACTAAGGAGCCTCAAGCACCTCATTATTAGAATTGGCAGAAGAAAATCCAAATTTATATTTGAACCATTTGCTAATGACGGAAAGTCAATTTAATGAACTTCTTGAAAATTGCGTGACAGTCAGACAAGTATAACCTATACTTGTCTGACTGTCACGCCACTTCAAACCCATTTTCGAAAATCCATGTGCGCAGGCGAAATAGGTGCGCGTGCGTACGCTTCGCTGTCGTGCGGTGCGCGGAATGAGTCTTTCATTTAATCTTCTGTATACACGTTTCAACCGCATTGAACAATGACCAATATTGCCACCATTGTATTGAAAGGGTTCGGTGAATCTTAGTTTTCAATGAGATTGCGCAATCGCATTGAAATGTATTTAAATGTATCAATGCCATTGAAGCAATTAAATTGAAAGTAGTATGGAACCGAAATTGAATCGTGTAATATCGCCTTTAAAGAAGCCTGACGTCTGACACTGTGATCGTCATCCGCCTGCCAAGCGTAGCGACTAAGCCAAATCCCAACTACAACTGGAAAGGGCCATCAGTGCACTTCTTTCGGCTGATGGTGAAGTTTTCGCTCTAGCGTAGACCCACTCGTTTCTGCCAGTGCCCAATGTAACGATTTAGAAAACTAAACAAAATTGTATTTTTACACATATTATGTTTGTTCTCTGGTGAAAGTGGCTGTAGTACATAAGCCCTCAAACTCTCAACACACTTTATATTAACTACCTCTGAATATTTCAAGTTTGTTTTGAAATAGGTACTTACATTGTACTGTACTGGACATTGGTTGTTACAAATTTTTTGTTGATTCTTATGTGGGTCACCTGACGACAAAAGGTTTTTCTTACTTATCAATAAGGTTGATTTTCATGATTACCATCATTATAAAAATGTTGTATGATTCTAGAACTGCGGCTTTCAACTTTCCATCGGCGGTGTCCCCGTCTACATCACACCATTGTAAGTAATTTTATTCATTGTAAGAGTAAATATTTTTTTTAAATTTATATTTATAATACTATAAATATAATATATATACTACTCTTTTATACTTATAACTTTATATATATATATATATATATATATATATATATATATATATATATATATATATATAAATCAATTACTGTCCGTTAGTCTCGCAAAATCTCGAAAATAACTTGACCGATTTTGATGAACTTTTTGTATGTATTTGAGCGGGAGTGGGGTCCCTGGATGTTTAAAAATTCAGTTTGATCCGGTAAGTGGCGTTGTTGTCGATATCCAGAAATCACTCTTGCAAAGCCTGAGCGAATCTCTAGTATTATAACAAAACAAACAATATAAAGTAGATGTAAATAAGTATGGTATGGTATATTATATAGATAAGCTTTTCATGAATAGCTTTTTGAAGAGATTGTTTATATTACCTTCTTATTCATGAGATTATGTCATCATATCAGACTATAGTCATGCTATGGGGGAGACCGTTATGGGCCACCCCATAGCAGAACCAGTACGATGGTATGGGCTCTGGACTCGAACATTTTTCAACATTTAGTATGGACAACTTTCGGAATGAACATTTCGAATTGCGAGCCAGCAAAAGCTGGAGTATCTATAGAAACTAAAACCTATTCACTTCAATTTGAGGTTTCTTCAAAGCAAGTGTGAATATGTTTTTGCGAAGCAAAGCCAGTTTTCTTTACCGAATTTAGCTATATTACCTATTACCTGTAGGTTGGAAGGGGTTCACGTTTTTCTGTAACCCCCCCCCCTCGTCGGTAGCACCCAAGGGATCATTTTTACCTAAAAAAAAAATTTTTACCTAAACCTACCTGATGATTTGTGGATCCTGTGGCTCATAGACATCTACATTTATCTTCAATTAAGAATCAAAATGCAGATGCAGGACTGAGATGGAATGCCTCGTAAATTAAAAAGGGTCTCCAGTTCTATACACTCACCATACGAAACACAGCAGTATTAGGCTGCTATTTTACGCTGGTATTCTGTGAGAGCGTGGTCCCGCCCCGGTCGAGCCGACCCATTCGTGTTGCAACCACAATATAACTGCAGCCTGGCTCTACCACGTAAAAATTTGTTATCGTTTTAATCGCGTTTGCGGTAATAATAAATAATGGTTTATGGTATATTATATATCCACCTATATGCGACTACAGCAATGTGCTTTGCGTTAACACTAATGAATACTCACAACGAAAACAAAATAAAAATGACGTACAAACGTACAATATAGTCGAGGAATTCCCCGTAAAATATAAATGAAAAGGGTTGCTAACTTGGGAGTTCCCTAGAGTTTAATTTAAATAAATAAAAAAACAATGTTACGTAACGCGTTGTTCGAACTGCCCTACCGCCCCTGTAGCGCATCGTAATACTTGAACTTGATATGTAAAATAATAGAAAATTAGTATTTCATCAACAATAAGACGGTCACAAAGCAGAACATCATTGGCGAGATGAAAACCTAGTCTTCGTTGGCTAAGCTATCTCGAAACAATGGGAGAGGATCAACCAGTGAAGTGAATATACTTGTGAGTGTCATAAGGAAAGGTCCTACGTGACCTTGAACCCGAGACTGGCAGGAGCTGGCTTAGGACAGAACTAAAGCCATGTATAAATGCAGACAATTTTGACGACAGTAAGTCGTAGCCAGCGTTAGCAAGAAATATAGCTATAACACTGCGCAGCAATTTAATGTGACATGCGAGCGTTTGCATGGAATAGAGCACGCGCCTATTTTTTGGTGCTTGTGATCCGAGTTAGCATTGCTTGCTTCTCTCGCGCCATTTTTTCGATTCGTGTTAACTTGTCATGTCAATCGTCGGCGCGCTTTTTTGAGACTCCTGTTGTCATCACAAGAAAATATTGGTTGACCCTGCAGGCCGTCCCTGGAACTTTCCGCTCATTTCAAATACAAAGCGCTCCAAATTTCACCAAATTATGTTGCGAAATCTCGAAGTTATGTTAAAAAAAAAAAGTTTTTTTTTTCAAATTCTATCTCCTTCGATATCTCACGAACGAATGACCTGATTTGTATTGTCCAAACGGAATTTGACGTTGTTTTTTGAGGTTAAGAGCTGATTATTTTTGAAATCGATCGGTAAAGCCGTTTAAAAGTTACTCAAAAATAAAGTTTTTCAAAATTTTTATTTTTGAGATTTCTGAAAATCTACTCGTCCGAATCAGTTCATATCCTCACCAAATCTATTCCACATTGAGATCTTTAGAACGCCGCGTACACGTACATACACGTACATACACGTACATACATACATACATACATCCGTACGGACGTCCACGTGAAATCAGTCACAATAGCTTCCTGGGATCTCAAAACGTCAAGATCTGATGAAAACTCGATTTTGGAAAATCGGGGTGAAACCAATAACTCCCTATTTTTGAAAATTTTCAATTTTCTTAGTGGGAAGTTAAAAACGTAAAACGGAGTGAAAGATTGACGATGAAATTAGCACTGTGTAAACTATCCTGTAGCGTGCTGGCAGTCATTGACAGTGAGATTCTGGAGCCGCGATTTTTTTTTTAAATAAACGTTAGCTCCACGCTAGGATTTTCTGATGCGTCGTGTATTAAATTGCCTTCGTATAGACTTGCCTTAAATGGCATCTTTTATCAGAAGCCAAGACTCACATCGGATGATTGCGTTAAGTTAGTAAGTCAGTAAATAACAGTAATCATTTGTTGCAGCGACGGAGGGGTGTAGCACTTCTCCCCCGTTGCCGCCGCCGCTGCCGCCGCGCCGGCGCCGGGACTCCGCGGCGCCGCCCACCCCGCTGCACCAGGTACCACTCCCACGACCCCACGCCACCACCCACATCCACATCCCACTACATCCACTATGTCATCACTATCATCACTAACACACAACTTCCAAACTTGAAAATGCAACTGAGACCGTCGTAAATATGTCTAAAATACGACCTTTAAATGTTATATTAACTGACGTCAGACATGTTGCCTTAACGTAAAAACATCACTATATCAGGCGACGTTTATTTTTGGAAATTTGCAATTTCAGATCGTTTTTTTCGACTCGGATTTTGACGCATCTAAAATCAATTTCCGATGATTTTTTTTAAAACGTTCGTGTAAATCTTAAACTACTTTCTTAAATATCGTACATTGTTGTTAAATTCATTTTGCTTTTTAACTAAAACAAATTAGTATCAATTATCTCACATCTCCAATAATTACATACGTTAACAATACATTAAATTCAAAATATCACAAAAACGTGAGAGCTTTAGTATGTGTGCATGATAGAAATAGAATTGTTACATCTACGCTAGATGTCGAATAAAATATACAAAACCATATCCAAAATATTTCATTTAAATATTATTTCGATTGGATTTATAAATCTTTGATTAAGAATCAAAATGCAGATGCATTGTCACTCCTGATGACTAAGTTGACTGGGAAGACTGGAAAAGAGTCTCTAGTTACCTGCACTTACAATTAAAACATCAGTATTCTGCTGCTATTTTATGCTGGTATTCTGTAAGAGCGCAATCCTTCTCAGTTGTACCGGGCTATTCGTGGCACTACTATAGAGCTGCGCTATTGCTATACATAAAACATATCCTCATCATCATTACAGCCCTTCACAAATCCAATGCTGAACGTAATTCTCCTCCAAGTAATTCTTCCCCATCGGTTGCCGGTTCTTTGAACTATACGGCGGGCCCATTGCCACTTCAGCATACTAATCCGTTGGGCTATGTCAGTCACACTGGTTCCACTTCGGATATCCTCATTTCTAAGTTTATCACGCAGAGAAAACTCAAGCCTACCCTCTCCATATTTTGCTGAGCAACCTTGAATTCAAGCAAACAATCAATCAAACGCTTCATCTATATATCAGTCTATATATATCTAGGTATAAAACATTTGTTTACGCTTGGCATAATGGGCAATGAGCGATACGTGCGTTCTATCTATAGCTTGCTTATGTACGCTCTAAATATGCACTATTCTTTATACAGTTTCTATAGAAATGTTGGTTCTGTCACTAAAGATTATTCTATGTTCGTCAGACGTCGTGGAGCGAGTCCGGCAACATAAGCAGCGGCGGGTCTCCCGCGGGTGCTGCTGTCGCAACTGTAGCCACCGCAGCAGCAGGGGCGCCGCCTCCGCTGCCGCCGCGGCCCGCGCCTGCGCCTGCGCCCGCGCCCGAACTGCTGCGGCCCGCGCACTCCGCACTTCTGCAGCGCAGGCACCACACCGCCGCGTCAGTATATACGCACATACACGTACACACGCACGCGCATGCGCAATACATAATACATACAAACGAATTTCATTTCATATTGATTGCCTAGCCAGTACACAGACTCACACATGCATAGTGCGCACGCCTGCTATCGCCACGTTAGAACACACGCTCACTATTGCCGTAGTAATATACACACACCCATCGCCGCGTTGGTACACTCACATATACACATGCTCATTATCGCCGTGTTAGGTACACACGCACATATACATAGCCCATCCTAGCGTTAGTACACAAAAATGCATTTATAGTAGTATAGTTACAGCCTATATACGTCCCACTGCTGTGCACAGGCCACCCTTCATTTCTGAGAGGGTTTTAGGAAAAGGAAGTGTCCGCCGCGCTTCCCCAATCCGTGTTGACGAACTTCACGTCTTCGAAATATTTTTTTTCTTATTCCTTAGACATGCCGGTTTCTTCACGATTTTTTCCTTCACCGCCGAGCACGTGGTAAATCAGCACTTAAAATTTCAATTAACAATTTCATTGGTGCCGGCGGGGATCGAACCCGGGTTACTCGCGTTGTGTTATATTTACAGCGAGTGTTAACTATCTGAGCTACCACGGCTCTTGACGAAAAAAATGCATTTAGAAACTAATTTTACTCAAAAATGTATCTAGTTACTAATTATCTGGTCTACGTATTCCACGCTGCTGCAACGATGTTACCGAATTGCTGTGTTACACATATTATACGAACAAAGAGTATGTCCATCTTAATTATTTAACTTACTATATCCACAGAAACGATACGCTTGTTAGGCACAATTTTTCTATAATTTTAAAAAAAGTTCATAGAGCAATCACTTCGTCCACGTTTTTCTGGTGCATGTTTGCGGATTTTACATGTTTTAAAAAATGTTTTATTTCTCAAATATGCAGGTTTATAAGATGATCTAATACTACGATGGAATGTCTCACAGCCAATAATTATATTCTAATCTAATTTTTACGCGTCAAAGAAATACTTCCACCTTTGACTGTCGTAGGAAAATTGAAGATTTCATTTCGGGCAGGGTGTCAGGCCGGGGAGCGGCCGTCGTTCCGTGTGGTAGTACAGAGTTATTCTTTATTTATTGTAGTATTTCGGAACTTTGATAGCGTGTTTTAAGCTTCGGTGCGCTTCGATTGCGATGCGACGACAGCGCCGCCACACACCTGTCATTAAGTTACTATTGTTATTCCTTTTTATTTTATAGAATAATGGTAACCAACGAGCACTTAATCTATTTGATGGTAAGTGAATAATACTGCGGGACATAGACAGCTACATCTATTCCCAAATAAAAATTAAAATGTTCATGCGTTGCGACCCCTAATGACTAAAATGGAATTCCTCGTTTCCAGTTAAAAAGACTCCGGTTTTTTCACTCACCATACGAAACAGCAGCATCAAGCTGCTATTTTACTCTAGTGTTCTGTGAGAGCGCGTTCCTTGCGCGGTCGAGCCGAGCCATTCGAGCTACAAGCATAATATAGCTGCAGCGTGACTCCAGCACTTAAGATAGTACTGAGTCGTTCCAGGTATTTTGTAAAACGAAACGAAACCGTTTTTTTTTGAAATGAGAAACAGTTTAAAAAAACTTCCCGCCAGTGTACGTAACGACTTCACCATATGTTTGTTTACAAAATAATAAAACGAACTTCCTTTCATACTTTTTCAACCGTTTTTGTTCAACCGTCTACAACCAAATCTGAATTGTGTATGGATATAAATAAGATTTATTTTAGCTTTAATCGTAACGTCAAATCAAAAGTAGTTACTATAACTGGTTTCTATTTATACGACAATAGTTCATAAAGCAATAGTAATAGAGTATTAACTTAGATCCCATCTATGAACCTACCTAACGAACATGTAGTTTGTAAACCTTTTGCGATTGAGACAGTTCCGAGAATGAAATGTAGAGCTGTATTCATTTCGTTCGTTTTTAAACCTAATGTTGGATCTTCGAGAAACTGTTCGTTCGTTTTTCTTTGACAAACTGTTTTTGAAAAGTGTTTCTGAATAAAACGCCCAGTACTAACTTAAGATGACTCATGGTAAGTTGTTGATGGTGAGCAGGCTTGCGCCGCGCCTGCCGCCCAAACCGGCAGCGACCGTTGCGCCGCGCACCTAGCAGCCGACGCCCGCCGTGCCTCCCCGACCCCGCCGCGCCGCCCCGCCATCCCGCCACACCTCCACACTCTAAGCCACTTTAAGCCAAATACACCCATTTACAGTTAGCACTGGCCGCAGTTCACACCGATGCAAACGTCAAGAAAGACGTCTGTGTCGAGTAAAATTAACTAGTGTCGAGGCGTTTGATCTAGTACAAAATCAACCTTATACTGTATTGTTATTCTATAACTAGATGTAATATACGCGATCGCGCCTACCTATAAGCCAAAAACGAACATTACTTGTATACATCGACCAACGATAACTTAATATAACTTGTGTTAAATTACAAAGTCGGAGGATTTTGACTGGTGAATTGTAAACCGAGTTTACAAAATAAAACAAGCAAAGGCACAAACTACTGATGGTTTTATGTATTGTTTTAGAAACAACAATGTTTTTGTTTATATATTTTTTATGATTCCATGACGCTATATATAGATGTTTGTATTTATTTTAAACCACAAATTTAATATGGTATTGTCGAATTAAATTTCATAACTTCTTAATATCAAAAGGATTGGATAGAATTCACTTTTATTAATGGTTATTTAAAATATAAAGTAAATTTTCTTCCTCTAAATTAATTTTATTCTACAGTTATAAAGTTTTTACCTCCAATGATATATTTTTATTTACATCTTTCCTATCAATACAAAAATGGATTTTATTGTACAGATATAAAGATTTTACGTTTAATGATTTTTCTTTTTTAAGGAGAAATTAACACTTTAAAAAATCTAATGCTGTCGTTTGCTACGGCAAATACATTTTAGTATTTTATTGATCTAATTTTTGTCTTCCCAGTGTTACCTGTTTTTTTTATATCTTACAAAAATATATTAAAAACGAACAATAATTTGAATTTAATGATTTAAAATATATATGTATAGATACAACAAAAATATTATATAATTTTTAGTTAAATATTGTACAGACATTCCATTTAATTATCTTTATTATTTTATGTCTAAAAATAGAGCAGGTGCTTGAACTATTTAATGTCTTGACTGTGGTGTGATTGTCGATTCATTAACTAAGTATTGTCATTGATTACAGTCCATTTTCGGTTGGCATTGCTAATACTGGCTATTTCAGATTTTTTGTTTATTACTTTAAAAAAGAAGGCAAAGTCGACTATATTCTGTGACCATACTTTAAAAACATGTACACACTAAAAGTATTCCCAAACTTTAGTCAACAAATCATTAGCTGCCGGATTGTTTATAAAAATCTGCATATATCACTGTTATTATCTCAAAATATATAATATACTTTTGGTCCATTAGTAATTAAGAAATAATTTTCGAGAAATCCATGACATGAAGCCATAATCCAATATTGCAAAGGACATTCAGAATTCTTTGTAGGACCTGTGCAGTGCCAATAGTAGTTCAAGTATGTTTGTGGCATATAGACATATAAATGTTGACATAATTAATAAAATAAATGTAATTATCGTATTAGATTATGTAACTATTGAATAAGTTCATGAGTGTAGCATTTATTGTAAATATATGTGGCATTATGTTGCGTGAGTATATGTCTATTGATGAATTACTATGATATGTATGCACGGGAGACACAAATACCCATATATTATATATGTATACATATTTTTTCATTGAAGATTAAATATAAATAATTGTTTCCCAGGTGCCATAATTTCAGTATAAAGTGTAATGTAGATTTAATCAAAATATTTACTGATTTAAATATTGTTCCATGTTGTATGACTCGTGACTTACGTTTGACGTCTTCAGATATAATAATATCAGATATTTCTATTACATTTCGACTAGACGCTTGATACTGGACGTTTGGAATATGACATTAATTCTTTATTAATATCAATATGAATGTAATATTTTAAAATGTTTACTCTAAGTTATTCGCCGACATTAACAAAAGAATTTATAAATTTGTTGATTCAGGTTATTGTTGTGATCATCTACGTAATATACGCGACGTGAGTCCAGGACTTTGTCTCTATTTTTTGGTGAAATCTATTTTACGTCTAGAATCTAAAATAGCAAATGTCGTCTTATTTTTTTGACCTGTACACTCGCTAAAAATACAAAATTTTATTGCCTGTTATCAAATGAATAAGTTTGAAAGTAAATAACTAGTGCAAATACTCGTTTAGTTAAGAAGTGTATCTAGAACCTTCTAACCGCTCATTAGGAAATATTTAAAACGGTATCTTATATTTCTTGTTTATCTTTCTCAAAATTTTTGGTTTTTCCTTGTCATTGTTAAATTTAAAAACGGATAACTGTTACTCCTTTATGCATAGACGTTTATTTTTAGCCTAATTAATGGAATAAGCATACAAAAAAAATATTATGCGTCCATAAATAATCTTTGTATCCGTGAGTAACACTTGTATGTAACCATCCATCAATCTATCCATTGTAGCCTATGAAAGCCCACTGCTGAAACATAGGCTTGCCCCATACATATTTTCTGACATTGACGTTTGTCAACCGCAGGTTTTTTTTTTCAAAATTACTTTGAGTTGATTAAAACTACTTATTAACCTATCACTCACTGCGCCCGCCATAACAAAAAACAGCTTTGTACCGAGGCGTCCGTCGTCACCTCAGCTGGCGGCACTTGTTTTAAATATTTATGTTTCTCACGACCTTTCATTTATGTTTAAAGAGGTTTTAGTTACAGTTATTTAAAGCCGATAAGATTTTCGATAAGTAGAAACAATAACCATAACATATAAATGTTTATTTTATTTTGTACAGCTCTTTGTTTCTAACGGATCTTGATAAAGTGTACTTACTGACGATAAATTTTATTTTATGAATGAAATATCGTAAGTTTTTATTTTATTTTTATGTCCTTACAATCAATACAACATATTCTTTCTAAAT